TCACTAAAAGCGCCATTTCGTTCTTATAAAAGCACGGATGACTGCGATTGGCCCATCCATATGTTGTAGTCTTTTGGACGCTGAGTCGACTGGTTTTGGTCCGAAAAGGCTGCGATGCAGCGTTCCTCCTTTATTCCCAATCGAACATGGTTGAACAAGCGGTCACGTGCTCCTGCGTACGCCAGTCACCTGGTCACCGTGCCTGCAGGGTACAACTTACTAGCCTGTTTGACCTTTTTTGGGTGCAGTCCTGTCACTCGAGTTGAACTCGAGTTGAACCTTGGTGTGAAAGTTGTCGCCTGCTGGCGTGGTGACTAGGTGATTTGGGCACCCAGGAGCACGTGACCGCTTGTTCAACCATGTTCGATTGGAAATAAAGGAGGAACGCTGCATCGCAGCCTTTTCGGACCAAAACCAGACGACTCAGCGTCCAAAAGACTACAACATATGGGCCAATCGCGGTCATCCGTGCTTTTATAAGAACGAAATGGCGCTTTTAGTGACATTTTGCATACAAATCCCCATCTAGTAGGGCGCAGTCACCCAGTTTCGGTGGAAGTGCGCGAGTTCGATTGGGATTCAAGTAGGAAGGGAGCGTCTCAGATTTCTCGGACCAAGACCATTCGACTCAGCACCCCGAAGACTACAACTGGTGAAATTTTAATTTTTGCCTTAACTTCCCCTTTAAGTGCACTATACCACAATGTTTCTTGCACATTACATGAAGTCACGTTTAACTACACTCGTGTTTGTGTCTCACGTGTGTGTTCAATGATACATGTCACGTCTGGCGTGTGTGTGTTTGTGTGTTTGTGTTGGTGCAGTTGTTCTATCACCTCCAGCGTGAGCAGTCCTTCAGCGAGCCAAGGTACAGCGCCACTGTCTCAGACAGGCACTGCTGTGTGTGTGCGTTTGTTTTGGGGGGGGGGGGGGAGTGGGGGTGGATGTGGAGATGTGTGTGTGTGTGTGTGGAGGTGTGTGTGTGTGTGTGTGTGTGTGTGGAGGTGTAGGTGTGTCGGTGCGTGTGGAGGTGCACTTGCGCGTGTGCGTCGCTGAGAGATTGCTTAGTCACTTTTCGGGGTTTGAGTTCGTGTACATGTACACCGTGGCTGCTTTTGCTTAGTAAGTTATCCTGTGTCTGAGCGGCGTGGAAACTGCATGCCATCTCCCGTGTGTTCATTGCTGTGTAGGTCACGGTTCTACGCTGCAGAGATATCGTCTGCACTGGGATACCTACACTCTATGAACATCATCTATAGGTAAGACAGCGTACTACTACTGTAGTCAGTTAGCCTTGATTTATGGTTTATTTACCTCCACCTTGTGCTATGCCGGCATCATGATCATACCAGGTACAACTAAGACATTGTAGTGAATTAGACAATTGCAAGTGATAAAGAAGATACGGGATTACTCTATTGCAGGGCTCTTGCAGGGCTCTTGCCAAAGCAGGGTGAGAAGATGCAGCACCCACCCTCTTACCCTGGTAATGAAACCTCCTGGGGGGGGGGGGGGGGGGGGGGAAGAGCCACCAACCTGCAGGGATCTAGAACACTGAATTGTCAGTGAAACGTATCTCCAAGTACCCTAGTATTCTGTATCTTTCAGTGTCTTTCTCAGCCTACAATTAACTGTGCATCTGAGATAGAGGTACTGTCGTGGACATGGAAATCCGATGGCATGACCGGGGCCGGCACCCTTACTTCTTTTAGCGTGTCCTAACTGTTAGGCTAGTGTTAGTACATGTCCTGTATGCACGTATACACTGTAAACATGGGCCGGCAGTGCTCGTGGCTGCAAGGCCAGCGCCCCGTGGCCGCTTGACTTCTCAACGGATTCCAATGTCCGCTCCAGTAGATGTGCTGTGAAGCTGAAATCGAATGACTTCCATAGCCAGTGCGGGGCAGTCATTTGCAGCCAAGAATACCTTTGCTGCATGCTGTCAGTGTCTTGCTCTTCCGTTTAGTCATGAGACGCTTTCCCTCCCTCCCCCCCCCCCCTCCGATCATGTTGTGCGCTGCTCTCAATACTCATGGTGTTTATCTGCCCGTTGTACAGGGATTTGAAACCGGAAAACATTCTTCTAGACGCAGAAGTGAGTACTGACGTATCACGTTTCTTTCCATGCTTCCCGGTCACTGGTCCCGAGGTCAATTAACTGGACACTCCTGGATCTTTATTCTAGCAGACCTCCGGTGCACGTGGTGTCATCTGATCGACGTGGTCCCCTTGACAGACCTCGCTGCATTCACCTCTAGCATTCTAGCATTGGCCCTCATAGCATAGGAATTGTGCCACTGTGCACGTCTCTATGGTAACACTGAGAAGTTACGGTGAAATTTACCCTTGTGCAGCGAGGCCTTTTGTGTTGCAAAATATATCATTCTCTTGGTTTCGATGGGCCTTTTGCTTGCCAATGCCCAGTTTTATTATAGTTCTGTATCGGTGAATTACTTCACTACATTCACTGACTTACTTCTGATCATGTTGTTGCTGATCAGGGGCATATCAAAATCACCGACTTTGGACTTTGTAAAGAAGGAATTATGGATGGTGACACGACAGGCACGTTCTGCGGTACACCCGAGGTAAGCATGATCATTACGTACAGACATTGATTGAAGAGACTACGAGCGTTGAAGGAAAGAAAGGAGATGCTATCTTCTTTCAGTCATTGCACAGATACATTCACATCCTGAGTGAGAGATGCAAATGCATTGCCAACTGTGACACTACACTTCGCATCTTGCGTCTTGGGCAGCGAATCACGCTGGTGGGCCCTGTGATTTCTGGCCTGGAGTCCGGGCCGGTGCTCCACAGGTGTCAATCTAAGATATCGCAATCCTTGCTGTATCCGCTCTTACTGTCGTCCTGGCTGCTGCTGCTGCTGCTGGTTTTGGTGCTGCTCTGCGCTGTTTGTTGGTCTCCATTGGCATCAGACAGGGTGTCACATAACAATGCAGTAAGTGAGTTGTATGGTGCCATGGTCCTGCAGTGCAGACATCTTGAGGTGGCCTGTGGTGTGCTAAGATAGCACTCTGTGTGTGTGTGTGTGTGTGTGTGTGTGTGTGTGTGTGTGCGTGTGCGTGCGCGTGCACATGTGTGCGTGTGCGTGCATGCATGTGTTTATGTGCATGTAATATCTTGTGCGATGCTCCCCGGCGCGTGTCTAGTACCTAGCACCGGAGGTGTTGCAGAAGAAGCTCTACACCAAGGCAGTGGACTGGTGGTGTCTTGGATGTGTACTGCATGAAATGCTCTTCGGCCTGGTGAGTACATGTGCTGTGCATGTGCTGTGCATGTGCTGTACATGTGCTGTGCATGTGCTGTACATGTGCTGTACATGTGCTGTGCATGTGCTGTACATGTGCTGTGCATGTGCTGTGCATGTGCTGTGCATCCTGTACATAATTATCTACAGTCATCTGTACAGCTCTTGTGCATGTCTAAATCTGCTGTAGCATGATGAATCCATCATGTGTAGGAATGTCTAGCTGTGGGTATGTGCTGCTGAACATCAAATATCTGACAAATTGATTTTCCAGAATGGGTTTGGGGCAGGGAGTAGTAAACGACGTACTTCGAAGTACAGTATTTTACTACTCCCTGGTTTGGGGTGCTCGTGCTACGCTACGACTTTGAGAGACAAAGCATGCTCGTGCTCCCAGTCTTATCTAGTGTACACCAGTATTATACAGCACGCGGTGCAGCCCGTGGTACGATATTCTAGAGTGCACAGTCATGTACTACAGCCAGACCTCGCATAACCGCACACATCCGTTTTCCACAAAAATATCCGGATAGGCGAGGGAACCGGAACTGAACACACAAACTGTATGTATTCATACCGTGTACTTTAAATCGGTAACCAACGATTTTCTTCCGGATGGCGAGGGATCCGGATAAAAGAGGACCGGATAAGCGAGGTGTGACTGTACATGCAGTACTGCAATCCAGTCTCTTTCCGGAAAAATATTTAAAATCCCTTACAGTGTAGAGTCATGTACTGCTCTGAACGGTTGGAAACACACCGTCAAAGTCTCCCTCATGACATTTCTGGTCCCCAGCTCGCTATGTACTAGTAGCTGACTGGCCATGTCAAACTGTGGCTGCACAAAGTCTAGTGAAGACCAACTAGTGTACCTGCAGTATGTTATGCTGCCGTGCTGATAATAACAAGCCATGCTCCAAACTCAACTCCAGTGGTGATGAAAGTAACCACTGTTGTCATGAACTCGGTGTCTGTGTCTTTGTGTGTGTGTGTCTGTCTGTCTGTCTGTCTGTCTGTCTGTCTGTCTGTCTGTCTGTCTGTGTGTGTGTCCACATGTCTGTCTGTCCACATGTGTGTATGTACAAATGTCTATGCATACGGGACGGTATGTGCATGACAGCCGCCCTGGTATAGCACCAACCTGGCGGAGATGTACAACGGCATTCTCACACAGCCTCTGCGCCTCAAGTCAACAATCAGCGCCAATGCTCGCACCATACTCCGAGATGTAAGGACCGACTTGTGCATGCTCTACTGATAATAATTGGTCACTGCACTCTTGGAGATCTGCTTTCAGTACAGACTTACACAGGTACCAATATGTACTAGCTGCTTGAACTAAGCAACTTACTCAGCACAACACAGAAATTATCATGCTCAATGAATAGAACAATTACACTTGTGGATCCCGTAAATATTTAAAAATCCAAACTATGCCATCGCAGCTGAGTGATTTCCTTGAGTCTATAGCTTTGTTGCACAGATAGTCATGTTTACGTTTACGATTGCTATACGGGGGGGAGTATTCCCTGATTCACGGTGTTGTTTGTCTTTTCTGGATCCTCTCGTGAATCCCCTGTGCTTCCCTGATTTGACGTTGTCACTGAAGGTTGTGTGTCACTGTGTGCATTTGTGTGTGTGTGTGTGTGTGTGTGTGTGTGTGTGTGTGTGTGTGTGTGTGTGTGTGTGTGTCCCATATGGTGCAGTGGTATGTGCGGTCGATTTCCAATCGAGAGGTTGCGGGTTCAATTCCCGACGATTATGGTCGCACACGTCTTTCTTCTCTTTCTCGGACTCTTCCCGACTTTTCTTTCATTCTCCTGGGTGGTTACCAACAGCCAGTGTATGCCGGAGTATGTGGTGTGGTGTGTGTGTGTAAAAAAAATAATAATAAAAAATGGAAAAATGAAAAATAGGGATTCACTGGCCAGAAAAAGTCACTTCAAACAGCTGTGTGGTGGATACCAGGCTAAAAATAGTGGCGGTCAATTCATCCGCCTTGCAAGCTGTTGAATGGTGTAATCCCAGCACAAGTTGCTATGTCTAACATAGCTGTTCGCTATCATCGCTTCCGCGATGGGCATGTCTGAGGTCTGAGGTGTGTGTGTGTATTCGTCATGTCCGTGTGTGTCTCTGCATGTGTTTCTGCTCTGTAGTTACTAGAAAAAGACCCTGAGGAGAGACTGGGATACAAGGAGGGACTGGTAAGTTGCAGCACACCTCTGGGCATGCACGGATGCTGGTGCCTCCGCTGCCTCGGCGTTACGGATAGTGTTGCGCTCATCACTGCTAACTGTTATCTATCGTGGTGTGTTTGTGCAGAACGGTATGCACAGCACCAGTATGACTGTCCTGTATTCCACTGTATTCCACTGTATTCCACTGTATTCCACTGCTTATCACACTGTATTCCACTGCTTATCACATGGCCACTCATGTAGGTCCAGTGAAAACTAACCAGCAGTACTACAGCTAGCATTCACTTCACTGCTATCTCATGCACTTCACTGCTATCTCATGCACTTCACTGCTATCTCATGCACTTCACTGCTATCTCATGCACTTCACTGCTATCTCATGCACTTCACTGCTATCTCATGCACTTCACTGCTATCTCATGCATTTCACTGCTATCTCATGCACTTCACTGCTATCTCATGCACTTCACTGCTATCTCATGCACTTCACTGCTATCTCATGCCTGTTCTGCGGCACGTAGAACCCAGGTATTCACAAGGATTGCATCGCCATCACTAGAATTTCCTCAGAACCTACAGAAAATGGCCGAAATAGCTGCATGTGTGAGTGTGTGTGTGTATGTGTACGTGTGTGTATCTGTGTGTGTGTGTGTGTGTGTGTGTGTGTGTGTGCGCGCGCGCACGCGGGCTTGTCTGTGATATTGAAATGAACCATAGCTCATTCACTGTGAACCTAATTGTAACTGATAGTATCTTATCTGTTCTTTGACATTGCCACCGTCTTCTTTTCGCTGACAGCAAAACATCATGAGCCACGTGTTCTTCGATGAAATCAACTGGCCCAACTTGTACGAGCGCAAGATCCCTCCACCATGGAACCCCAGTGTGGTGAGAACTAGTGTGCTGTGTGCTGTACGTTGTGTGCATGGACGGATTTTGAAACTCCTGTAGAACAATCCTGGCTCACATTGCTGATACAGTAGAGTGCCGATTATCTGCACACCTCGGGGTGCCAGCTGTTTCCAGGGGGTTCGGATGAGAAGAATGTTCGGATAAGGGATCAGTCACACATCTATCTAAAACATCCATATTCCCGCTTGTTTTCATCATTTTTCATTCTCTTCGACCGTACAACAGGAACTAGGCGCATTCCAGCTCCTGAAAAGGAGCATTTTGACTCCAACCTGTCCAACATTTTGACTCCAACCTGTTGTAGTACATCTTGTGCATCACTTGAATGGTGCTCGGAGTGGTGGAAATCAGCAAAAGCCTCGAAAATCCTCCTAATTTGGACTTTGTCCAGCCTGACCAGGTAATCCGGATAATCGATCATCCGGATAGTTGACGTCCGGATAATCGACGTTCTACTTGGGAGAGTGACTTTGAATTGGACTTATGCAGTGTGGTTGGCCGTGCAGTGTGTGATGAAGCAAGAATACAATGCCAATACATGGGCAGGGTTATGGTTTTCTCAACCATGGCAGTTTGTTATTGTTGTTGTTGTTGTTGTTTGAATTTGAATTCTTTATTCTTTATTCTCACGATGGCACCATCGCCAATAAGAGAAGTTGTTGTTGTTGTTGTTGTTGTAGTTGTTGTTGTTGTTGTTGTTGTTGTTGTTGTTGTTGTTGTTGTTGTTGTTGTTGTTGTTGTTGTTGTTGCTGTTGTGGCTGTTGCTGCTGTTGTTGGCCCTGGCGCCACTGTGATTCTGTCATCGGCGTGTTTGTCATTATTGTTCACAGCATGGCTCAGGTGACACCACAAACATATCAAATGAATTTACATGCGAACACCTTTCCAGTAAGTACAAATCTGTGTAGACCCGTATTCCAACATTCAGCAAGTAACCATGGTAGCGTACATGCTTCATCTTGTATTATGGCAGATGTACCAGGCTGGCCTTCTAGGACTATACACCTTATGCACATTGATGTAGTGTACGAAATGCTGTAGAATCCCATAGACCAGGTTGGGTGTTGAATGTACAGGACCCTATTGTGCTATCTGTATTTTCCATTACGAAACATGTCACCACAACATGGATGAGACAAGTAATAGTTGAACAATTCCAAGTTTACACACATGCTTTATTAGTAATATTACAAGCCCGGGCCACGATTCAGGGGGGGGGGGGGCTTTGTTTTCATTTCCTACCAAGCTAGGGCAATATTCGCTTGCCGTCACCTGAATGATCACCAATAATTACTAGGCTCTAGTGTGTGCGTGTGTGTGTGTGTGCGTGTGCGTGTGTGTGCATGCGTACGTGTGTGTACTAGTGTACACCATGGCCACACCATACCTGCTACTGATAATCCTCTCCCAAAACCGAATTTCATCACAAGTTTACTTTCACCGGAGCACGAACTCAAAACGAAGCTCGCCTTGCTAAGCCTACGTTCTTGTATTGTGTAAATCGTTACTTGTATGTGTCGGCTTGGCCACGTTAGCAGTATGCATCTGGTCACTGTACTGAATGTCTGGAGCCTATGCCTGTGCCTATGCCTGTGCACTTTATCCATCTGCCATGCACTCACAGAGTCGATAACCGAGACGGGGAAGATCGACAATGGCCAGGATGACTTTGCGGGCTTCAGCTATCGGTCCGGCGACAAGGTGAGCGAGTCATCACAGGACATCGTCGACGACGAGATGTCTAGTGCGGACACGTCCAGAGAGGCAAGTCCGTTCAACCCGCGCCTAGTGTCACTCCAGGGACAAGAGGTCGTGCGCTGTTCGTCGCTAGATGCGCTTGGCGCGAGTCCAGGCAAATCACCACAGGATGCCAAAGCTCTGAAGGCAAGCAAGTCATTGCAAGGGCCAGCTGAACTCTCGTTGTCCGAATGCGGTGCCAGTGACCAAGAACGCCATTCGGTTCAGGGTGACGAGGATGACACGTTCCTGCAAGAGGATTATAACGACCCCAGGCTGGTGTGCAAGTTGCGTGCTAGTTTCTGGTCGCAGCAGGGCACCGAATCCGAGACATAGCCGTGCGCGACGCTACTGCTGTTGCTTTTAGTGTGGACGTCTGTATGAGTGTGTGTGTGTGTACGTGTGTGCGTGTGTGTGCGTGCACACGCGTGTGCGTGTGTGTGTGTGTGTGTGTGTGTGTGTGTGTGGTGTTGCTGGCTGATACCACAGTCTTGTGGACACTAACAATACAGACAGGCAGGCTGACAGACTGCACTATAGGCTTCTTGACTGCAGCTTAGTCTAACAAGTGCGCTCACTGCACAGTCTGCAGGGTCAGTGGACTACTGGCCCTCCACCCGCTGACTGCATTTGCCAAACTGACGGTTTCAGACAGCCGCTGAAAACTAGCACGTACTAGCTACAAAGCTGTGCTAGTACTTGTATATCTAATAGTGTCTTTCAGATCATCAGCATGGCCGTGTACCCCTCCCCCCCCCCCCCCCACTGCTAGTAACTTGAAATAAGGATTTTTCATTTACCCTGCCCATTTTTTTACATTAACCCTCATGTGAAATAGTAGTAGTAGAGTGTAAAACATGAAGTAGTAACGCCACCCCTTGCAATACTGGCCACACTTCCGATACTCAACTGTGACCTTGACCGTTGCCCCAACAGGCAACGATTTCGCCTAGTCTTTTTCAAATTATCTCTGTTTTTTTCTACTTGCCCGAGTTCAGGAGTGCTTTTATTTATTTATTTATTTATTCGTGCTGATGGCTCAGCATGTCTGACACATCCCACCAATCTGACCAGGTTCTAATAATTTCGGTGTGTACTGAACTCTTCAAGACCGCTCTGGAAGAAGGCCACTGACAAGGCCCACCGCCTACATGTACAAGGTAGAAAACGCTATGAGGTCACATGGCGGCAGTATGATGTAATGGGATGTCAGGTGGCCCGGCCGAATCTGGGATACTTGATCCCGGAAATGAACACACACTATGGTCGACTCCTGATACACATGCACATGTATAGTGAACACCGCGGTGCAGGAGAATTAGCTCTTCCTCTCCAAGTTCTTTCTCACAGAAATGCACTCACACCACACAAACAACACATCATGCCTGCCAGCAAGAGTACAATAACCCCATGTACTCTTGCTGGCATACAGCCAGTGACTGCATGAGTGCACCTGGTTTTTATGCTCCCGTACAACACGTGGTTTGTTAAAGGGGAACTGTCACCAAAATTTTTCTTTGTCTTATCTTGTAGTTCTTTGGCTCCTGATCACGATGGTGTTATCCGTTTTTCTCTGCGATGGCTGGAAGTGGGTGAAAACTTGAAAAGAAGGTGCCCAAAATTGTCCCGAAGTACCGAGTGACGTCACGCCGGACTTGACCTCCACGCGTAGATCTACATTCATCGTCAAAAACGAAGTCCAGCCCGTACCCCGTGTGCTCGTCGATCGAGCTAGCTGTTCCAATGTACGGTGCACGTGTGCCTTTTGAACTGTAACACATGGATGGGTACGTCGTACCGAAGGAGAATGCCAAAGAGGCAGAGACCCACGTGCAGCTACACAGCCAAATCAAAATAAAAAGCAGCTGAGCTTTCACCTTTTTGACTTCTTCCGCGAAGATCGTTTTATTTTGTGAGCACGGAAGTACGTCGTTGTTTTGAACTTTTCGTGTGAGGAACAACACGATGATGAGTGCGTATGCAGAAAACAATACTCCTCCGGCCGGCGATAACACCACCAACCCGAGCCCCAAAGGAACGCAATGTAGTTACGTGAAGGCGATTCATCTAGCGATGTTGCTGAAGATGCAGATGACGAACTCCGACGTCTTTCATTTCAGAGCCGGGTGGGCAACATCGCCACCTTCGATACAACGACATAATTTTCAAGTACGAGGTATGTGTGTCACACTAACAGCAAACAAACATCCTTCCACTCCTTCGTAATCACAAATAAAACAAAGAGCTGGAGCGTCGTGGAGGAAGTACCAGTGCGACAAACTGCAGTCGACTTTTGTTTATTTTGTCCCTTTTTGGCGTTCTCATTGTGTACAACAGTACACATCGAGTGTCCGAGTTCAGAAGGCAAGCGTGCACCGTACATCGAACAGTAGTTGGCTCGATCGACGAGCACACGGGCTGGACTTCGTTTTTGACGATGAATGTACGCGTGGAGGTCAAGTCCGGCGTGACGTCACTCGGTACTTCGGGACAATTTTGGGCACCTTCTTTTCAAGTTTTCACCCACTTCCAGTCATCGCAGAGAACAACGAATAACCATGATAACACCATCGTGATCAGGAGCCAAAGAACTACAAGATAAGACAAAGAAAATTTTTGGTGACAGTTCCCCTTTAAAAACAAAAGCAGTTTGCTATACAAATACAGTCGTCCCTCTCTAATCCGGCACTTGTTTATCCAGCACCCTTGCCAACCAGCACACTTTCTGGCAAAACCGATTTTTCAGTTCATTAATCCAGCAGTTTTACCTTGCATACTGTCAGGGAGTATTGTAACATACACAACACATGTAACATACACTTGGGAATGTCCTATGCCAGTGCTTAGGGTATTCCCAAGTGTATGTTAAAGACATGCATTCCACAAAGTACTTGGATTGACACAGAAAATCCCTACGTTTTGACGTACGACACAAACATGTATGCTAACAGGTGGGCCGGGTTGAAGGGCAGGAATTGATAATCCAGCACCCTTGTTTATCCAGCAGAAAATGCCGTTGCAAAAGGTGCCGGATTAGAGAGGGACGACTTAAAAGGATCAATTTTGTACGAGTGCGTTCAAACAGGAAAAGGTTCGCTATCACGAAATTTGCTACAGTACGAGCACATGCCAGTTCGTGATGCCGGTGTCGTTCCTATGGATGTGGAAAACTCGCGTCTAACCGAGTCTCTATGCCAACCATGAATTCTTTTGTCACAGTCACACTTTCGGCCACATACATAATCATTGGACACATCTGCCCGTTTAGATCGCGAATAAAAAATAAACAACAAAAGCAACAAGGCGAGAAAGATATCAAACACATGCTGGGGAATCAATCAAGGCCATCGCCTCATTGTTAATTAAGAGACGAGTTTCCAAGATGGTTTTAAAAGACTTGGACAAGTGGTGCGTACATGCGATGCTTCGGCTACGGGTATTGCCATACACGTACACGTCCATGTCCATGTAGACCGTATTGCAAAATATAGCTGCGCCTAAACTGTAGGAAATTTCAAAAACAACCAACCAAATCAATATCGTTAACGCGATGAAGGCAAAGCACGCACAGCACAACATGGTACATGTCTGACAGTCGACAATGGAAGTACTGATCGGCTGCTGAAAATTCTGGCTTGTACGTCAGTCTGGGATTCGTGCTTAGAGATCAAAATGGGATTGCATCCAAATAAGACAAATTTTCAACGATTACAGTGACGGGTATGAACAAATAATGTAATATGTGCTCATAATTATACCGTAAAACACACGGTGGTTTAATATCAATAACTTGAGGCGATACTAAACAACATAAATCTGTTGAAGGGAGGAGGTAAAAAGCTCAAGGGCGATGTCATCATGAGAAAGCAAGAGCATAGCCTAACAAGAAAGTCCAGCAGCGGGAGAGCATCACAATCACGCAGGGATTGGTGAGTGCCTTGCTCTGACCACTGCCAGTGCAGGCAACGAGCCAGTGTGTCCAGCGGAACAGGAGCGGCGGGCATCTCACAGCTCAGCTGCGGCCAAAAGCGAGCTCCATTGCGAACTCGAGTCGTCCACCGCCAGCATCTCACTACGGTATGGCCGAGGGCATTACAGACACTACGAAACTCCATGCTCGCTGCAGGTAGTTTCACTATGTGTGTGTGCCCATTAGCACTGCAACACAGCACCTGCAGCAGCAGCACCAACAGCAGCAGCAGCAATTCGCATAACGTACTAGTACTCTGACTTGGTGGACAGCCGGTCTGAGCACCAATATCACAAGACGCTGAGGAACAGAAGCCCAAGCCCAGTTTCACAACTCGGAACACTGGGGCAAACAGGGCCTACTATGGAAGACTTTCTTCACTTGATCACAACTTGATGGGCAGTACTGACCATGGCAGATGAAGATGAGAAGCATTGGTTTCCCGTGGTGATACTCCTGATCGTCAAGAGTCATGGAGTGAACTATTTTGCGAGGTAGGTAGTTCGCACAAGGCAGTAAGATGCCAGGCTAGGCGTAGACTACACAGCACGCGTACGAACATCGAGATATCGAGTAGGCCACACAGCACGTGGATGAACATGGAGATATCGAGTAGACCACACAGATATATCGAGGACTCCCCAAGTTGCATGTTTGCATGCCATTCGACATGTAGATGCCCACGTGGATGGAACCAATGAATATATATATCATATACTTGTACCTGAACTGACGCGATGCATGGCGCTTGCGGTAGCAACGGTCAGTGTGGCATGGTCCCTAGAGCGAGCGACATGATCGATGACAAACTGTATGACTGCTGCCCTTGATTTCACGCCAGCATGGTGGCAGTGGGCCTTCGTCATTGCCTCCCATGGACAATGAGCGCTTGCAGACAGAACATTCATCGCTGAATAGGGTGTGGTAGGTTTCCAGCATATCCTACAGAAACACAACACAACAGGTACCGTTGTGATCTATTTTCTTTTCCTTCCAACCTCCTCCCCATGAGACCTTTACGTAAAGTGCGATGACCACAACTCTACGTCACTTACGTTCCGAGTACACACATAGCATTCTTCAGACAGGATTACGTACCACCACCCGGTCTAAGCAGAGCCTCTTCACCCGCACATGCAACACACTCATATACACATACGCACACACACACACACACACTTTGATCTTTTCTTTCTTTTTGACGCCCATCACCGGAGGCGATGATAGCGATGCTACAGCAGAAGCCATAGCAACTTGTGCTGGGATTGCACCATTCAAACAGCGTGTTGCAAGGCTGAAGAAGAGGCATGCAGTGCATGTACGTCACTACAGCGTAGTACTCACCATCAGAGATTTGAATACTGCTGGGCCGTTACCGGGATGTGCCGATCTTATACACAGCAGTGACAGTAGGCAGCACGATGACACCTACAACAAACAACAACAGCACAGCTCAGCTCAGTGCAGTGCCCAGCGTACACAGGTCACAGTCACAAGGAATTACCGTATTGTCTGGAGTATAAACAAATTTAAAAAAATTGACGGGTTCGCGTACCGGGCAGGTCAAGAACAAGGAGTTGTACAACTCCCTGGTCAAGTATAAGCCACACTTTAAACATTCGTAATTCACCCCCCAAAAAGCCAGTGCGGCTTATACTCCGATGGTGACATCAACGGAGATATACAGGGTGGATGTCTGTATTGCGTGACAAAAAAATCTGCGCGCAACTGATATTCCAGTGCGGCTTAAACACCGGAAAAATATGCTACACGCATGCTGAGTACCCACGGGTATCGGCTGATTAGCAGTGTGCTTGGCGTATTGATCCCTTGGAGCCATTATTACGTTGAACGCTACGTTCGCACGAGAAATACAGTTGCAGTAATTTTGTGTGGGTATACATTAGTAGTAGTTGTGCTGATCTGCAACATCTGACAGTCAAGGAGATTGCAAGGCAGCCGATTGATAGAAAGCTCAGCCTTGCCATGTACCGGCTGCTGTGACTAGTGTTGTGATTTTACAGCTCTTCGAGTTGTGTTGCGTGCCTTCAAGAGCTGTACCAGTACCCTCTCTCTCTCCATGTCTATGCGGTCCAGACTGAGGCAGAGAACCGAGGTGGTCTACTGTCGTGCACAATGCAATCCGATTGGATGACCGGGGCCGGCACCCTTGCTGCTGTTAGCGCGTGCATGCACTGTAGTTCACGTACACGCCGTACAAAAAATGGAGCAGCAGTGCTCACGGCTGCAAGGCCAGCGCTCCGTGGCCGCTTGACTTCTCAACGGATTTCTATATCCGCTAGCGTTTGTCTCAGCGCATATTGCTCTTCATACCAATCCAGTTCTACAGTGCATATTGCTCTTCATACCAATCCAGTCATACAGTGCATATTGCTCTTCATACCAATCCAGTCCTACAGTGCACAGGTTCAATGTTCTGCTGATCAACTGCTGCTACATTGGTTCATCTCCTTTATCTTTTCTTTCTCATGGTCTCTTTTTCGCCCCCCCCCCCCCCCATCCTCTCTCCTTTTTTGGACTTGCTATCCTCTTTCATCTTGGAATGGGCATAATAGAGTAAGGTGTGTGTGTGTTTTGTTGGTTCCAAGGTTCATATACTTTCTATTTGAAGTATACATACCTGTTAACCATGGCCTTCTTCTGGCTAGATTAACTATTGTGTAATCAATGGTGCTAGTGAAGCTTATATCAGATCCACTCTGATTTAGCCACCCACACTAGTAGCAAGTATTACCTTCACGGGGGGCAGGGGTAACTGCAGTTGGATCCCGGGACGGATACCCTGATGCCGTCAATCCTTTTTCTGCACCTTGTCCTCACCCACTTACTGAGGTGTGGTGAGCCCATAAGTGGGATCATTTTCAAGTCCACCCAGAGTTTTGGGGATTTCAGGGGGAGTCGGCCGTTGGGCGGTTCAATAGCCAATTGAGTCATCTTTCCAAGATTCCTTTTGAGTCTCTCTCCCCTCTCCCGGGAAGACCCACGTGACCAGTTTTGGCAGTGAGCAACAAGTACAAGCAACAAGTACAAGTGTGTGTGTGTGTGTGTGTGTGTGTGTGTGTGTGTGTGTGTGTGTGTGTGTGTGTGTGTGTGCACGCATGCAGAATTAACAGCTCATATAAGCAGTGGCCATCAGCTTACCTCCTGGAAGACACGGTGTTGCGAAGATTTAGCTACAATCTCACTAAATGTCTGAAGGGAGAACATAGAAAAAACACAATCTGCCGATTAGCCCTTTTCAAAGCATATACATTCTTGAAAAACACTACTGATGATATCAGGAGAAAACAATGATCTGGAGGGGTTCTCCATACCATCACTTCACGACAACAAACAAAATTATACTCTCTACGTTGGTGATGTTTACGTCATGTGGATTACCCAAAATGCAATGCAGTGCGATGTAGTGCGGTGCAACAGGTAGCAGCTGTACAATGCCTATCCGGAGTCCGGAGTCAATGAGCATCACTCTGTTGATTAGACAAGAAACCTCTCTTTGGATAGCGAATCAGGGAGAGGAAGAAGAGTATCAGCAATGGAAAATACACGACATCATTGCACTGCACCATACACACCATGGCTGCACAACACTACACTGCGCTGCACCACACCACACCGCAGTGCACCATACACAACATGACTGCACAACACTACACTGCGCTGCATCATACACAACACGACTGCACTGCACTCACCACACTACACTACACCACACTGCACCACGCCACACACAACATGACTGCACAACACCACACTGCACTACACTGCACCACACTACACCACACTACACTACACTGCACCACACACAACACGACTGCACTGCACTGCACCTCACAGCTTGCCAAGAGAACCCTGCGGGACTCACCAGAGCCGAGTCGGCAAATTCCTGCCAGCCGTGCACGACAATGTACGCGGGAATACCAGCCTCGTCCAGTTGAATGTGTGCAGAGAACACTGCCTGAAGGTCTGCCTACATGGTCAACAAACAATGGCATCCATCACAAGCAAGATCATTTTAAGCACAACATATCCACTGTCCTGGATCTGGACGGCCAGTTAGGCATCGAGTGGTGAGCAATGCGGGCCTGTCAACATGGTGAGATCGAGAGGGTGAAGACAAAGAGAACGCACTGTAGGCAAGTGCAACCGGTATTACACAAGATTGCAAGTTGTATAGCAACGAGAGCACAACGAGTTAACGCTGTCAGCCTCGGCTTTTACCAGGAGGGTGACTTACACGGATAAAATGAACGCCGTCCCGTACTGTACGCAATGTCAACTGCAGTCTGGGATGCAGGCCATTCCAGTCCGTGCACCAGATGGTCATTGCCCTGTGGACACGAGCAGACGAAGGAACAATATCAATATGATGAAGTCTGATTCAGCACATTAGCAGACCAACACCAGGTTTCGTGTGAGTGAGTGGCATGTAGTGTATAAGCTACAGGGGAAAACGAGCACCCTCCCCCCCCCCCCCCATATACATGTACACACAACCAACTACACTCATACCCTGGTTATCCGGACACCGAAGCTACGGACACTTTGGTCTACCGGGCACCCTTTGGGTGTGTTTTAGTGGAAATATTACCACTCTTTGTCACTTGTCGTGGAATAATGACGTCATATGCCATATGTATGGCCTTTCCCCATCAAAATGTATGTGATTCGGAGTTACGGACATTTCGAAGTTACGGGCAGTGCCCGGTCCCGGACCGTCTGGATAAGTGAGGTAAACTAAGCATACAATGCCAATAGGTCCAATACCCTAAACGCTAAAGCATATGGAATGACTCGGATGGTGAGCCAAGGATAAATTCATACAAAAGAAAAAGGACCAAGGAACTACAAGTTACGCTATAACGTCCACTAATACCACCAGTAGAATGAAGTTGAAGACACCATTGCAGCTGTACTTATGGTTGATGAAATATGGTGGTAAAGACACACCCGGCAATATGGCGGTAAACACACGCCTGCCCACACACGCTCTCTAGGCTGCAAAGTTCTAGCACAGAGCTCTCCTTCTCACCACCAGGCGCCAGGCGCGAACTGATGGTGGTGGTGGTGAGAAGGAGAGCTCTGTGCTAGAACTTTGCAGCCTAGAGAGCGTGTGTGGGCAGGCGTGTGTTTACCGCCATATTGCCGGGTGTGTCTTTACCACCATATTTCATCAACCATAATACCACCAGTTACTAAACAATCAACTCGTGCGTTGGGATGCTGAGGGAAAGAATGAAACATTTGAGATCACTGGAGGAGGCGGGGGGATTGTACACTCCGATGCAAGACTGCGGAGATCACTAACTTGTCCAATGGAGAATAAGCCAGCAAAAGCTGAACAATCCTACATGGGCCAACGTAGCTCCACGATGTTCCAACAAAACTTACTCTGGCGCCATTTCAATCCGTGCAATTTTCGCTTGAGGCTCCGTACCATTCCCCAGCACCAGTGAAGGACGAGACAATTGTTCCTGCCGATTTAGGTGGTGGTTGATGCATGAGGCAATATCAACAACCTATACCAGTGGAGACACAATGGTAGAATAAGATGTAATGAAAGTTGAAAACAGGAGAGAGAGAGAGAGAGAGAGAGAGAGAGAGAGAGAGAGAGAGAGAGAGAGAGAGAGAGAGAGAGAGAGAGAGAGAGAGAGACAGAGAGAGAGAGACAGAGAGAAACAGAGAGAGACAGAGAGAGACAGAGAGACAGAGAGAGACAGAGAGAGAGACAGAGAGCCAGAGCCAGAGAGAGAGAGAGAGAGAGGGAGGGAGGGAGAGAGAGAGAGAGAGAGAGAGAGAGAGAGAGAGAGAGAGAGAGAGAGAGAGAGAGAGACAGAGAGCCAGAGAGAGAGAGACAGAGAGCCAGAGAGAGAGAGCCAGAGAGAGAGAGAGCCAGAGAGAGAGCCAGAGAGAGAGAGAGAGAGAGAGAGAGAGAGAGAGAGAGAGAGAGAGAGAGAGAGAGAGAGAGAGAGAGAGAGAGAGAGAGAGAGAGAGAGAGAGAGAGAGAGAGAGAGAGAGATAGAGAGAGAGACAGAGAGAGACAGAGAGACAGAGAGAGACAGAGACAGAGAGAGACAGAGGGAGAGAGACACACACGCCATACACAGAGAGGAAATGCCGTTATCCTCCTTGCGGGCGCTAGGATTAGCTGCTTCCAGCACGGTGTCTGCCCGACAGCCATTGCACATCACCACCCGAGCTGTTAACCAGCACCCTTGGTAGAGCCCACAGACGCTGTCAGGACTTCAACAACTAGAACTGACTCCTCAATCATCGCTTGAAGCTCCCCTCTCGTCCGCCTGTATCCCCTCTGTTGGTCTTGCTCCGTTCGTTGTACTTGACTGGTAGCATCGGATCGATGGGTCAATCAGGAAAATCAGGTAGAGTAACTCACATCCGCACCATCCAACATGAGCAAGACAGGATACCGACGAATCTGAACAGTTCGACCATACTGGTGGTCCTCTTCAGAATGATGTTGATAATGAGGGGGGGGGGGGGGGCACTGATGAAATATGCCAGGAGGCGCGCGTGTTCAAACCATCGTAACTGCGTGTGCAGTGGTAACAGAGTGGCAGGACAGGCTATACTCTACACAGTATACATGTAGGACTCAGTATAGAGTCCATGCACTATATGATGTCCAGCACCCTATATAGAGTCCATTGGTCCAAAATCCACTATACAGAGTCCAGGAGTCCACTCAGTTTTGATCAGCTTCACCCTGCCGCGCAATCCCCTATAAGGAGTACACTTTTTCTACAAGTCCCCTATTCACAGTCCAGAAGTCCAGTTTATCCAGTCACGCCGTCCTGTGTGTTGTGCCCGAAAGAGAACACATTTTCAGCCTAGTTTTGCTTGCCTCGTGGCAGCGCATTCCTTTCTTCCGTGACTTCAGCCATGGCTGCCAATTCTGCTGTGCAGTTGCTAACAGTAATCTGTCTCGAGCTAACCAAGGAGGATAAGGAGACGTTCAAAATCAAATCTGGAAAGCGTCTTGTGGTTCTCTGAAGACGTTTCATCAGTGCGCGGGATGAAAGCAGAAATTGCAGAACGAGAAAAGTTCAGCACAGTTCAAATCTGACGAGTCAGGTACACTGACGCTCTCTTTCGTTCGACGCCACAAGGATCCCCTGTTTGGCTGGCCATTGCTGCTAGTAAGACGTTTGAACAGTTTCATCAGAGCGAGGGATGAAAGCAGAAAGCGGAGAACGAGAAAAGTTCAGCACAGTTGCAATCTGACGAGCCAGATACACTGACACTCTCTTTCGTTCGACGCCACAAGGATACCCCTGTTTGACTGGACAAGAGCTGCGTACCACCGTGTCAAAAGGCTGTCCAACTACATGGCAGGACCATGACTGAGGTAAGGAAGCTTTTACTCGTTTCGATTGGTCTGCTGTTCTGTCGTTATGCTTGAATTTTTTTCCGTTTTCAAGGAGCGTATCGCGTTTGTTTGATGTTGCTTGAATGAATGCCCTAAAAGTAATCAACCACTTCGTAATAGTCCTCAAGGACTGCAAGGACTTTGCATCAATCGTATATGATCGTCTAGCTATCATCAATTATTTTTATTTCATGAGAAATGTATTCAAGTTTATCCCTGTGATAATTATGTGAACTCCACGACACTCTTCCTGTAGTATGATGTCAAATACAATGGGATCCACAAACGCAGTGCCAGTGTACTAGTAGTAGTAGGACTAGGAGGATTGCTTGTATGCCAATGACAAGAAAAAGCTTCTCAAGCTAATACTCGTATTCCCTGAAGTAACCGTTTTGATGTCACGAACATGACATTGTGTCAGTGAAACTGCCTCGTGACAACAAATCATTGCATTTCCATCTTGGGGAAGACTGACTGACAGCAACGCTGTACAGATTGTTCAAATCATCTCATTTCAATTTAGTTGCAGTGAAGTGAAACACTGTGTACACTACATGTATGTTGGTGTGTCTGTGCGTCTTGAGTGTGCACAAACGATCTTATTCCTCGTATTACTAATAGATTATTGTCCCCACCATCACCTGTTCACAGGTCTTTGAGTGGATTGATTTTCATTGAGCATCACATTCGTTGAGAACTTGGTAGTTGTGTGCTCCCATGCATCATTACGGTAATAAGAGTATCATTGTGCTATCTATTTGTTGCAGGTGTGCTGATCTTCAGAAGCTTGCGGAACTGAGTGCTGCTGAACATTTGCATGGCCATGAGCAATGGTGAAGCTTGCTATTGCACTCTCAGCATGTGCTAGTATTATGCTGACCACTGCACTATGTTACTCTCTTACACTACTACGTGTATGTAAACGTGCGTGTACCCGTCCCCGTACGCATTCGTTTCGTATAATTATTTGTTGTCCCTCTTGACTTTACATGTAAATGGGTGGACGTTTGCATGGCTGTTGGAGTTGCGTGTGTATTGTGTCTCTACTCTTTTCTTGGTGTTTTCTTGGCGTTGTATAAGTTTGTGTGTGTGTGTGTGTGTGTGTGTGTGTGTGTGTGTGTGTGTGTGTGCGCGCGCGCGCACAATAATTTGAAAACAAATAATTAATCCTGGGCTCTCCATTATTCTCTTTCGATTCTTGGTTTGGTTTTTTTCTAGTTATTTTCTTGGCGTTGTGTGGGTGTGTGCATGTGTGCGTGCGTGTGCGTGCACAATAATTTGGCAACACTACATGATTGAGATGTTGTAATTTGCAGCGTCTGCGAAGAGACCACTTGATTTGAGGATGGTGTTTGTAGGGTTTTTCATGTAATGAAGTGGCTACAGTGGCGCCTCAATACATATTTTTTATCTTGAGAAGTGAATGATGTAAAGGATTAAAGGGAGAGGCCGTTTTCTGGTTAATATTCACTGCTTACAGCAGATCCTATGTCTATTTTCGAACTCGATAGGGGATGCCTAATTGGCTGGACTTTATACAGGGGGTGTTGTCCACATAAAGACTCTTTATAGTTGATTTCAAAGTTTGGACTCCGTACAGTTGATTTTGGACCAATGGACTCTATATAGGGGTGAAGCCAATTGGCTGGACTCTATACAGGGAGTGATGTCCACCGAAACTTTGAGCTCACAGTTGATTCCAAGTTTGGACTCTGTACAGTGGATTTTGGACCAATGGACTCTATATAGGGGTTGGACATCATATAGGGGCTGGACGCTCTACTGAGTCCAACATACAGTTACTAGCACAGTAAACCGGTGACTAACGACCACCCCTTGGGGCCAGAGAAAGCCGTCTTTAGTGGCAGGCGGTCCTTAGTTAGAGGTTTGCACCGCATAACCATAATAATTATTAAATTATGAGACCGTCCGTGCCTGGTGAAGTGGTCTGTAGTACCAGGCTGGTCGCTAGTCACGGTGATCTTTAGTTACAGGTTTTAAACTGCTTTGTTAGGAACAATACCAAGCCAGTCTTACCCGTCTCATACTGGTAAACGTTTGGCTTGCTCGAGTGTAGAGGGCGGACGAGTCCAAACTCTCGTCTTGGCTAAGCAAACCCAGTCCTCCCAGTGTGGTGCTTCCAGTCTTGTTCTCATCCAGTGCTGCAGTTAGCACCTCAATATCACTACCATACGCACCACCACCACCACCACCGCCACCACCACCACCGCCACCACCACCGCCGCCACCACCACCGCCACCACCACCACCGCCGCGCATGCACACACACACACGCGCGCGCATATGCGCACACACACACATACACACACACACGCGCGCACACACACACACACACGCGCGCGCGCACACATGCACACATACACACCAGCACCACCACAACACATACACAAACTCATACTCCTGCCCATCGTTGAAGCGATGATAGCGAACACGCTATGTTAGACTTGGGAACTTGTGCTGGGATTACATTGTACACCATTCAACAGTTTGCAAGGCTGATGAATTGACCGCCACTAATTTTAGCCAGGTCTACACCACACAGCTGGTTGAAGTGGCACATATGCACACACACGCACACACACGCTCACATACACACACACACACACACACACACACACACACACACACACGTCCCGTGACGCACTTACAGTGTATGTGACATACCCTAGAGAATGCAATGAGTGCATGTAAGTTACAGTACAGTTCGTGTTTACAAGATAGTATTTACACAGCAATATCGTTTCGTGGACTGGTATGTCTCTGCATGAGAATTGCCAGTTGGCATCTGACAGAGATGCCTAGCAGTCACACTGTGCATCTACTGCTCACACAGCTGCATAATGCCGTCTATTATTTTTTTTAATCTTACTATTATTATTTTTTCGGCAACGCAGATGATGATGGTGATGACCGGTGAAATTTTAGAACCTTCCAAGGTGGAAGGCTGTTGGAGTGCGCATCCAAGTTGTGCTAGAGCTGATTGCCAGTTAGGTGTAGAACGTCGGTACCGTCGGTCGGGGTCGTGCAATATTATCGCATGAGCTGAGTGTTGAGTAATTGGTCGTGTTTGTGGACATTATAGTGGAACTGGTAGTTCCTTGGTCCTTTTTATTTTCTATAAATTTATCCTTGGCTCTCCATCCGAGTCCATTCTTGTACACCTGATGAGCCGTTTTTATAATTATTATTGTATACTACAGTCAAACAGTGGACAGAAAGGCTCTGTGCTTGTAGACAACCACAGAACAACCACAGAACCAGAGCCTTTCTGTCCACTGTTTGAGTGTTATACGCTCTGCCTCCACAGCAGTTTGAGCACTCTTTGCATACTACAGTGCGTTTTTTTAAAACAGACATTTGTCGATTTTGATTTTTTAGTTTGTTCTCATTCCAAATTTGAAATTTTTTCTTCACAGCTGCGTTTGTGTGGGTCTTGGATCGAAGAAAATTAAGTTTGGGAATCGGAATAATAATAATTGTCAAAGTTAGATATTCGGACGGGTTTGGGCTGAAAATCCGGTTTTAAATGGTTTTCAGTGGATTTTGATTTTAAAACGAAAGTTTTAGCCAGGAAAGCTCATCACGTGCATGGTGTCCGCCAGAGTTCGAATCCAGTACAGTTCATCCTGATTCTTTTTTTCTCTTCTTTTTTGGTACAGCACATGCATGTACACGTACATGACTGTGCAGTTGTGCACTGCTGTCTGCAGTTGTCCTAACCTTTGTAGGAAACCAGTGAGTCGTGGTTTTTCACGACTTACTGTGGCAAACTGTACTGAATAATTCAAATGCTGTATTGCAATTAGCTCAATAAAACAAAACATTCCAGCATGCATGTAGGAAACTTCCCTCGATCACTGAAAGAATGCAGTGAAAATTCAAACACCACAACAAATCACAAGGGCAATTCACACAGCACCCATAAAGAGACTAAAAGGAAGCAATACATGAGCGGTTTTACAAACACACACACACACACACACAAACACACAATGCAAATAGGTCACAGTTGTGTCTGGTTCAACATCTGCGAATAGTAGAAGACCAGCGAGCGTCGAAACGGCCCGATTGCAATAATTCCGTGTTTTGTGTTGCACTTGTGACGGCAGTATTACACAGTGAACAGATGTGCTAGGACAGCCGACGACGTATATCATCGTTGGCGTCGGCCTCGTCGGTCTCCAGTCACGAACACATCGGCGCAGTTTTTCACGAATCCGTCCCGTCCACCAGTATGCAGAACAATAAAGCGCTTGCCTTTACCTGATGGTGCTTCATTTGGTTGCTTGCCTATACACTCCTGTCACCATTGTCGGACCACCTCCTAGTAACTGTGTGACGCGCATTGACCCACGTGTCATCCAGGTATCTATGTCTCACAGGTAGCGATGCCGCCAGGACACAATCCCGTGCCGTTCCATCATCATGTGTGTGATACCTCTGGTCTTGCCACACTGGAATCCCATGGAACGCAACATTTTCCAAGAGCTAGTTTTGCTCATGTCTGGAAAATCGTCGATGCTTTCTATGCAGCGAGCAGGAACTTTGTCCAGTGTTGGGTGCTCCTTCGTAGCATAGAATCCGTAAATTACTTCTTTACATACAGTCCAAAGCAAATCCGTCAGGGTTGAGTGGTTTTATGGCACGAGTCTCACATTGGGGATTGTCACTCTCGTTACCTTCATCACTGGAGACAGACAAGGCCAACGCAGCACGCTGATTTTCGCCGTCAGCATCCCTGGTACATCTGTTCATGGTGGAAATGCTGACGCCACACGCAACAGCAGCATGACGAATGGAATACTTGGGACCAATTCGATGCCCAGCCACTGTTCTCCTCGTCTTCGCAAAAATTGTAAAACAGACACCACCATGAAGATTCTACCATGGCCCGTTCGCGCTTTGTTATATGTGGCATGTCGAGAGAATAAGTTGCCACGAACGAAAAGACATTCGAGAAAAAGCAAAATAGGGCCACAGAGCTAGAGCAGTCAGCAACAAAATGATTCCTCCGGCCACGAGGAGCTCGAAGGACACTCTGAACAAAATGGCGAAATGCCACGAGTCACACCTGGTTTTCGAATTTCGCGCGCAGATTTTCGTGACGCAACTCGCATGACATTTTCTCAAAAGTGGCCTTGAGTACGTTCTCAAGGATTTCAAAGTCTATTATAAAAAAACGCACTGTAGGTGCATCCCTCGTGTATACTACCTAAGTATCCGACTACATAATGTACTAGAATGTGTACTAGAATATTGAAAATAATTTGATTTCATGAAGCTGCATAAAAATGTTCAAGTACTGGTACATCACGTATTGTTCTGTCCACAAAGACGTGTATCATGGTCACCGGTGTACGTGCAGCGTGAACATGTGTTATGGCATAACATGTACGTGCTGACCAACAAATGAAATCTCGACTCACCTCATGTATTTGGAAACCAACAGCACATTTTTCTGGGCAGCGACTAGCCTCTCATCCGGGTTGTCACTTGAACCAGCAGGGGCGAAAACAAGCTCATTGAACAGGCGTTTGACATGATTCCTCAGATGGGTGACTGACTTAACTGCATGCTCCAGCTTGGTCTTATCAGACATTTTGCCTGAGCTCATTGTACAAAATCGTTGCACTTTCACAAATATTTCGCTGGCCTAAAAAAAAGGATTCGCACCGATGGGAGCTCCAAGCTACAAACAATGTACATTTACACCAGTTCGAAGCTAGGTAAGACTGAACAGACCAAGACAAACCCGCCAACACACCGTGAAAACAACCTTCTCCTCTATAAGTATAACTGATGATATTTTGGTTTTGCCTTTTCTGAAATACCATGAATACGGTCAGCTTTGAATCTGGCATGTGCAGTGCAGTATCGATTATATCCACGGCCCATGGCATGCATGAAGTTCGAAGAGTGCAAATGGGCCATGGGCTGGGACGCGCAAAGGACGCTACTCTTGATCACCATGTTCACCATGCCAACGCTGATGGCTTTCGTTGAGTTTTCGCGTTTTTTTGTTATGTGCGCCCCGCGATAGGCGCGTAGACGGCATACCGGATCGGAACCGCGTACCGGTAGTCTACGCGGTACCGGTAGTGCACCCTTCGGCCTTCGCGGCATCACGATTTCAGGGATTCAGGATCAAGACAAGGAGGCGCGCAGAACATGCATGCTCTACTCGTAGTCGTAGCGCTCTATGCCCTAGGCGCCCTCGGGCTATATCGCTAGCGCATCGTATTCTTATCTGGCGAATCTGGGACAACAACTTTTGGTAGATAGTGGCAAGACACAGGATGAAATGAAGGTCTGGTGGACTGTTCAGAGTCCCAACAGTGATGATGGATCTTGCAACCTTCAGCTACTAGCCCGGTATCGGTCCTGGATGCGCATGCATGGGCACAACACCACCGGCACACTCTGACGCATGACTGCCGTACGCATATTACCACTCCTGTACGAGTACACGCCATGCCGGCTGGTATGAAACCGAGACACAGCAAGGCGGCATGCTCACACACTGCACATGTGATAGGAAAGAAAGTGAGAGGCGTACACCGGACATGTACCCAGTATCGGTAGTATAAAGAAGAGAAGTTTAAGGTACTGAAAAACCAGCACTATGGTCTATGTGTCGTATGCGGCAAGAGAACCACAGGAGAAGGGAATGCAGCAGCACATCTAGCTGTAAGTGGTAGCAGCAGCGGCAGCAGCAGCAGCACGCGGAAAGAGGCAGATAAAACGGGATAGCTGCTGCGCTGAGCATTCTAAAATTAAAACCAGCAATTATGTAGCCGCAGGAAACTGCCTAAAGCTGAAACTATGGTGGCATGAATATGTGTACAGTTACGGTACATAATTACGATGTTTGTACATGTATTGAATTCAAGACAACACGTGGCGGTTACGTGAGAGTTACGTGAGAGGCAGCACTCATGTCAAGGCAGTTCCTGACTCGACCAATCAAGCAACTCTGACCCGCGGTTACGGGGCAGGTGGGTGGATCATGTGGAAGGCAGTATTCGCAACTTGAGCGCCGCCGCACAGCAGCTAGAAATATATTATTACCAATAGAGGATAGCTCGGCCTTCAGTACTGTGACGCGGCATACATATGATGGAGTAGCAAAAAGGGATCACAGCGGATCCAGGACTGAGCAGTTAAAAAAGCAAAGAAGGGTGGAAGTGGATGAATAAATACACGCTACTGTATGACACAACGGAACTAGTACTGACAGTGACGACTTTTTTTAGATGAGCAGGCGGTGGTCGACATGGCTATCTTGCAAAACGACGAGTCCAGTCACGAGCCGTGCGATCGTGACTACTTCGATCCGTAGTGAACTGTTTAGCAATGTTGGCAACGAGCGGGTCGCTCGGATTGCAGTCGGCAAGCAGAGACGTGATGGACAGCAAGACTTTGCTGACAGTCATGGCCGGACTCCAGTTGTCCTTCAGGATATCCAAGCAAATCTCACCCTGTGCATGTGTACAGCAAGGGAAGGACAAGGCTAGGTTTGGGGTGCGGGAAAACACACACATGACGGTAACACATGGGGCCAAAATATAGTACATCAGCTAAAAAATAAAAATAAATTATTCTGTCCGTTCCCGAAGGGAACTCACGACGGCCGCTAACACCCGGAAAACCCTACATCAGCTAACACACTGAACGAATATAGGCAAACAAGGCAATAATTATCATGCTGGCATGCTGGCTATGTCCCCATACCTGACTGTTGATGTTGCAATGGTAAATTCGTGTCTTGAAGGTCACCTGTAATTCAAATCCAGCATAGAAGATACACACAAAACTCAACAGCTGCAATACACGTACTCGCAAATGGGACATATTTTTGTCACCACGTGTACATTAGGGAAAGCTTAGTGATGATCGAGTCCAACAAGTCCTGAAAATGAACTTACAGAAGGATAGCTCGTGAAACAATAAACCATTTGCAGGAAGTTTGAGCAAACTACGTTGACAAAGCTACGCCAGGGAAAATGATCAGGTTGGAATATCAAAGGCGGACAAGAAGAACATGAAACTCCACACCAACAGGACACAACAAATACCCACAACCAGGAAGTTTTATAAACCTGGTAGAGAACACGGCATGCAGAAGCTTGGATGATGTGCGCCTCACATCCACTACTGTTTTGCTCTATTTGAGCGATCAGTACACCCTACAGGGTGATTACCTAGCACTGACCAAAAGTTCTAAGAAAAGGTTATGGAGAGCCGGCTCCCAGATGGGTTTTTTTGTGATTTGTGCCTTGAGAAGTACTGAGCAGTAAAATAACACGGGTGTCGAGCTGTGTCAAACAGGATCCTTGGAAATCAGTGGCATGCCCTCTCCTAGGTTTACACCACTCCCTGCTCAGCACAGATTATGGTGAACCATACCTTCGGCGGTTCGAATGGATAGTTGCTCGGGAACAGGATGTTGAGAAAGAAGACGCCGCCTTCGTACACAGACCCAGGCGGTCCCATGATCGTGGCCAGCCAATGATCCACTCTCTCACCAAACAAGGATGCACTGCAATCAAAACAAGTGTATGCAGTCAAACAATCACAAGAACACCTCCGTACCAGCTCCTACACACTGGTTTGATGAGCATGATCAAGTATGTGTGTGCCACGTGACAAGATAATTGTATGCTGGAGCACAGACCAACAGCATTTACTCAATCTGCGGACAGAACTGTTTCGTCCTTTGTGGACTCGTCAGCGCAGCACAGAGGAAATGAGGCCGAACCTGATAGCAATGGAAATAAAAATTTCCAATCAGGCCCGAACGTACCTTGCCAGAGTGCTCAAACTGACAAGTCAGTGAGCTCTGCATAAAGCAAACAGCAAAGGCACTACCCCACGCAAGAGTGCTCAACTGCTACAAGAGCAGGAGCGAAATACTCAATCTGCGGACAGGTTGTCAGCATTTATGTAATGTAGGAGATGCAGTGACTTGCAACGATCACCTACCTGCAGTTTGGTGGCGGGTCAGTGAGCATATCTGTCAGCTCCGTGCGCAACCTGAAGTATGTCAGAACGTGCAGGGTAGGTAGAATGATATCACTCAGTGCCAAAACTGCTGCTAACACTGCAATGCACCCATGACCCACATGGGGGGGGGGGGGAGAGTGAGAGTGAGAGAGAGAGAGAGAGAGAGGGAGGGGGGGGGGGGAGATAGAGATAGATAGAGAGAGAGAGAGGGGGGGGGGGGGACTGGCCTGGGTAAATACACATCCTGAACTGTGTGAATCTCCTCGACATATCAGAACATTAGTTATGATAAAATCAGTAGAGCCTTCTTGACACAAGTCTGCAATAGGCCGTCGAAGTCTGACGTCACAGCTTCTTGACAACGCGTAGTTACTTGGCCAAGTGGTGACAAACAAAAGTCGCGTCGCCTGCACTTGTCGCGTTTCCAGTGCCAGCAGCATGCAATGAACACAGCTATAGCATCATTTTGACTGAGGAGCGCTCGAGCGAGACTATTTATTTCAAATAAACTGCTACTTGTCGCCGAGTTTGTAGTTTTCGCTTTGTAGAGAAGGAGAAGCCGTAACTGATTTTGTGCTTGGCCATTGCTGCGTCTGTACTGTCGTTCGGATTTACATGTAGTCGCCGGCCAAGAAGCAATGATGGGTGTCTCTGTTATTTCTATCGCAGCGATCGTTGATTTCTTTTAATTCTGAGACCAACCAACTCTGGGCTCGTTTCCTTGTCTAGGGGCAAGCGAAAATCAGAACTCCTATCTCTCAGGTGCTGGTGAACACTCAGCAGGAAAACACTGAACGTGGCTTGAGAGCGAAGGAGAAACTTCTTGAAGTAAAACAAAATTTGAAGTTGCGATCTTGCACCAGCGCGCCCCAGTCAAAGGGATGCCGTGACCGTTGGAAATACGACAAGTGCAGGTGACGCGACTTTTGTTTGTCACCACTTGGCCTTGTAACTACGTGTAACTACGAGTTTTCAGGCAGCGTGACGTCGGCACTTCGACAGCCTATAGAACAAGGTCATCTTTATGCTGTTACTCCAAGTATCCGGCATGGTTATTCATCAATCTGCAGACAACAATGTCTCAGCGTTGTCTGAAGATTGATGAATAAAACCATGAAACTCAGAGCAACAGCAGAAAGATTACCGTGTTCAAGTCATAGACTGGTGTAATTTGGCTCTGCCCTCGCGGTATCGAACACTTTTGCAAGCAATTGGCAACTCAGCCTGTAGAGTCTGCTTCAACGTCTATTCGTGTGAGTGCACAAAACACTCTTGCATGGATTTGCACACCAAAAAGTCAGGTGTGTACACCAACTCAAGGCACAAAGGGCAGGTGGTTGCTCAATGTGTACATCTTAAAATGTACACAGGTATAGCGTGGAAGAGTCATCTTTTAAATTGTACTGTGTGCAGTACTCACCTGCGGTTAGTAGGGCTTGATGAAGCTGCAGTTCTCGACGATCGGCTGTTTGTGTGCTTCGGGGTTGGTCTGCTCGCGGGTGCACTTGCCGGGGATTCTGGTTGCGGTCTCGGACTCGTGCTAGGGGACTGGCTAGCTGCGGCAACTTCCGACTTGGCATTGGCAGCAGTGGAAGCTGAAACTTCGGACTCGGCGCTCGCAGCTGCGCTCGATTCGGCTTCCGCCTGTGACGGTCTTGCTTCTCCCGTGCTGGTGTCACTCATTGCTACTGTTGTGTCTGACATACTCGTACTGCTCGAGATGGTGACTGTGCACTAATGGCATAAACTGCAAGAAAAGGGCACAGCAAGATAAAACAAAGTAATTTGCTGCAGCCAGAAAGAAGAGGCTATTTGAGCAATACATGACGGTAATGACTCAAAACATCAAATTTCCCAGAGCAACAAAATGAGATACTCGCACACATTGGTAGCAAGTTACAGTCCATTCAGAAAAAGATGGACTTCTAGCTTTTGGCCATAAATGGGTCAAACTTTGAGTTTTTTTAGAATTTTTTTCTGCAATCCCCTATGGAATCCTCTTCCAATTATGTTTCTGAAGTTTTTTTGTCCAAAAAGCAAGCCATAACAAGAATAGAATTTCGGCCAGGTTTTGCCCCGACAGCACTGAATTGGGAAAAACCATAAAAATCCAGGCCGTTTGACCCCACCTGCAAACGTGCATTGTGCGGTTCGAACCCCAGTTCAGGTACCCTTTTTGGACCCTTTTTCAAATTTCAAATTTCGCAGCACTGCACTGTGTACGATGAAATCACGAAAAATCGCCAAATACGGGAGCTCGCCAGAGCCAGAGCCCATCTTTTTATGAATGGACTGTAGTGGTTTCTCCTTCTAGAAGTTGATAGTGCCTGTATGCTGGACGCGGTGCGCTATGCTGTATGTGTGTGCGTGCGCGCGCGCGTGTGTGTGTGACTCACACATGTCTTTCTTCTCTTTCTCAGACTCCTGACTTTTCTTTCATTCTCCTGGGTGGTTACCAACAGCCAGTGTATGCCGGAGTATGTGGTGTGATGTGTATGCGTGAAAAAATGAAAAAGACCAAAAAGTAGGGATTCACTGGCCAGAAAAAAGCCACTTCATAGCTGTGTGGTCTGTCCCTTTGGAAAAACGCGGCGAAGAATTCAAAATTCCGCGGCAAATTCTGCGGGGAAAAGGGGGGTTTTCTGCGGTAAAATCAAAAATCTGCGACATTTTCTGCACGTTTTTCACCCTCCTCGTAGAGGATATGAAAACTAGTCGCATGAAGGAGTACTTTTCATACTATCCTTTGCAGTCACAAACTGAATACGAGTGAAGAATCATGGAGAGACCTGCACTGGCAAGAGAAATGTGCTCAAACAGATCACAAAGTAGTTTTTCTGCTGCTTTCTGAGTAGTAATTTTAGTAATTTTCCCTAAAAAAATTCAGATTCCGCGGGCAAAAGTGTGGATTCCGTGATTTCCGCGGATGATGGCAACTTCTGCGAAATTTGCCGCGGCCGCGGAATCGCGTTTTTCCAAGGGGACAGTGTGGTGTAGACCAGGCTGAATAGTGGCGGTCAATTCTTCAGCCTTGCAAGCTGTTGAATGGTGCCAACCCAGCACAAGTAACATAGTTGCTATGGCTTCTGCTGTAGCATTGCTATCATCGCCTCTGGCAACGGGCATCAAATGGTGTGTGTGTGTGTGTGAGTGTGTGTGTGTGTGTGTGTGTGTGTGTGTGTGTGTGTGTGTGCAAGCTAGCATGCAGATATTGTGCACCAGAACCACATGGCCTGACCAGGTTCTGTCTGCGGCAATTATCGAGCACGTGCCTTCCCGGCTGAAAGAGCCGAGAAGTGGTTTTCTTTGGGCAAGTACACGGCATGTGAGACACAGTGTCCTACAGTCTCCAGTAGTAGTCTGTGTACTAGCACATGGCTAGGCGTGTGCATCATGTGCACACGAATTTGCACTTCTGTTGAGCACTTTTCCATTCTTTTACTGATTTCCCTGCATGTTTTATACTCGCAATAATTCTTGTTCTCGTTTGTGTCGGAATCGTATGTTTGGCCACTGATGCAGCAGTGCATGCGTACATGAATCCACGGTGATACCGAAAATCCTTCTTTGCATTTGTTGCGATTTTTAGATTACAGCGGCTGAGCCACATTTACTATAGATGAATGCGTACGAGCCTGGGTCGTGGCCATGGCGATGCCCTGACGCTAATTGTGGCTGTTTTCCATCGAAATAGCCAGTTGAATGCTAGCACCTCAAAAAAATTCATCAATTACTCCGCGAAAGACGGCCGGCTATGCCCGCATAAAACACTGCGCACGCTGATTATTCCCGATTTTCTGCCAGCATAATCCGTGGAAGCGCGCGCATCACAAATGCAGATCATGGACTCAGCCCGGCTCGCATGCTGCTGCTGGTGCATGCGCGTGATGCAATGACTTTTGTTGGCGGTGCCACTGACGTGTAATCGCAAACTACCAGATTAGAATAGTCCCTCAAGCCGCTGCTCAACCATCATCGGTCCATCGTATTGCATTGCATAGCCTCGTTGAGCCGCTGCGCTGCTGTGTGGCTGAGCTCCCGCTTTAAATCATGATGAGTATGTAGTAAGATGCACTTCTGCAACGAGGCATAACCGCCGGTTGTAGGAGAAGCGAACTACATGTATCGACTACAGCAGTGCAGGTGCAACTGTGCAAAGAACGGTAGCAGCTATCCAGTTCACCTGTGGCAAGTATGCGGCTGGAGTGTGCCATGCATGGTGTACAGCGACGCGCGAACCACAGAAACGCCTGAGTGGTCACGCGCACAGACGTTGTCGAAGGTATGTAGATCTATGCGCAGAACCGTGAGCGGAGTCTCGCAAACGCAAACCAACCTCTGTGAGCATACGCGCTGTGACTACAACATGATGAAGTGTAAGATGACTAGTCGGAGATATGCAGCCGGGCTACACTGCACTCTGCCAACGGCATAGTGATACAGCATCCGACTCCGATCATACAAAGCTCGGGGAGGAAGGGCGGACGCCACAGCCCGCTTTCTCCAATCCCACCACTCCAGTCCTGAGTGAGTGGGAGTCAGTCCAGCTTCGGTCAAATGCCCAAGATGGCGGGCGGCAGCAAGGCCGGTGACGGACACTTGCATCACAGTCCAGCTCTGAAAGGTTCTTGGCTGGCTCAGCTTCAAAGTCGAGAAAGTACTGCACCAGCCGGAGCCAGCTCAAACATGCATCAAGCAAATCAGCTGCACGCGGATAATGAGAGAAAAACAGTGACGTGGAGCCACTGAGATAGGTATGAGATTGTGAGAAGATGTAGCACTACTAGCAGCACCTTAGCCTTGGTCGAAATCCTGCAACTCACCACAGCCAACAGAGATCATAGAGGAATATCCATGAAGACACTCACCGACACGTACGTCAACGCTCCCTGGAATGATCCGCAAAAGCTAGGATTTCACCCTCCCGCGTGTCGACAGTTATTCCTGTACCGTATGACAAGACAAGATTGAAGTCACACCAGGGAAAGCCAAAGGGCAAAAGTCTGCAACATGACGCCCATACGCAGCAGTACAGGCAACGCAAAGACAGCATGTGAGGCTAACATCCACAGGCGAGAAGAGAAATGCCAACCATCTGTAGTAGTACTTACCTGCAACAAGCAACGTTGTATTCTCCTCAGCAAGAGCCAAACGACAAAGTCAAGGGTGCATGCAGTGAACGGCTGATTCTGAACTACAGACTCATGATCAGCTGCAGATCAACAAGTCTGGGTGGTGAAAAGGACGACGCTGGCCTTGTGATTTCAACATCAGTTTTTACTATTTTAGTGTACCTGCGGTGACTCTGTACTCGTAGTCGTACGATCCGAGTAGATTTACTGCATGCAGTATACTGGGCCTACTGGCTCTTCCCGCGTGTGTTGTCACGGTGTCCTGCTGGACTGACAATACATTTGGCTGCGTATGGCACTTGCACTGAGTCTGTGCACAGACTACCAATACAATGTCATGTACCACTCTCGACTTCAGCCAGGCTGTCAGTGGTGGGCAGAGCAGCACAGTCATACTTATGTCTTTGTTTAGATGAGTATCAGAGTTGTGCGGAAACCCTCAATATTCTCACTCCACGCGCCTATTATTAAGCGCCTAACAAAGCTGAAAGCCGTCACGTAGAATCTACACTCAGGCTGAGAAGTGAGAGTTAGATCTACTTCTACATAAACAGACAACTGTGGCATGCAACGTGGCTTTACTTTAGTCTTTACTTGAGTTTGACTTTACTGTAATAGTTCTCATAAATGTGTCAATACTGTCATACTCATAGGGTGCGTTCTTAAATCCTCTCGGAAAAGTTGGAGACTCTCCGAAAAGTTCGAGAGCTGTTCTTATATCCTCTCCGAATTTTAGGAGGCTCTCCAAAGCTCTCCAAGCTCTCCAAGCTTCAGAGGTGGTTGAAACTTGGAGATTCCCGCGGTTTGGGATCAGCGCATGCGAACTAGGCTAAAAGCCACGTGTTGATCATGAGTGTACGCATTTCCCTTTTCGCATACGCACATCGCATACTATATTCGCGGCACTCAAGATCGCGGCCCCTTTGGCGCTTCATTTTGCTTGACATCTGCAAAATATCTCCGAATTCTTCGAGACCCGTTCTTGAAGAATCCCAGTTTCTTCGACTTCTCTTTTCTTCTTCTCCTAGAAGCTAGAGAATTTAAGAACGCACCCTTAGATCATACTTTCATAGTTCAGTCCAGTGCGACTTGAGTAGATGTACAGTATACTACTACTACTAGTACAGTATGACTAGTCTATGACCATGATGACTCGAAGATGCACAGACAGACTCTGGATCATGGCACATTATGGCATGGCACGTACATGTACTACATTGTACTTTTGTAGTATGCGAGGGTGCATGCTGCACACTCAGCACAGTGTATACGTATACGTACAGTCAAGAGTACATAACCCGTACAGTGCATGCACTGAACACGTAGTCTGTGCGCATGCGTGCTGGTGGCAGGATGGACAAGAAACCGCGCGTACAGGTTAGAGACGACTGAGTAGAAAAACATCAGGGATCCCGGGAGTCGTAAAATACCAAAATATATTATGGTATTTTACGACTCCCTGATAAACATCTCTTGGTAATACAGGTGGAATCCTGATACCGTATATTCTCTATTAGTATTTTTGTACAATAAGCACTGCACTGGTCTCCATTACTACAAAAAAATAGCACTAGTAATCAGGGAGTAGTACAATACCGGTATTGTACTACTCCCTGATTACTAGCACAGTCTCTACAATGTGTGACTAGCACACTGTGAGCACCTTTCGAAACGTTATAAGCACAGTCTCTATTATTAGCACGGTCTTGGTGGAAATCAATGCTGCATGCATGATATCTACAGTAGCATGTATTTCTTCTTGCTCTTCTTGCTCTGTATGGATGCAGGTTGAAAAAATATATGCACGGTCTCCAATATAAGCGCGATCTCCAATATAAGCACGGGGTAGAGGGGTGTTGAAAAAATAGGACCGATTTCTGTCAATACGATTCCCACATAAATTTTTCTGATAATTCGAACCTCGAACCGGACATGTCCGATTAATTCGAAGTTCCACGGATTCCACTTACATGTACATAGAAAATGTGTGGGATTTGTGCTGATAATTCGAAGTTAGCAAAGTGTACATGTAATTCGAAGTTCACTGTACAGTATTATACTGGTCAGTTCAGTTTGCATGAGCGGGCTGTGCTGGTCAGTTCAGTATCCGTGAAATCTGTGTCTAAGGTCCATAGCGCAACTCTGTGTGACGATGGCATGGGAGCATTTTGACATACATGTACAGTCATATACATATTGTGTTGTGGGTTCATGTTTGGATAATTAGAATGTCCGGGTAATTAGAAGTTTTTTTTGCTGGCATTTGGAGGTTCGAATTATCAGGATTCCACCTGTAGTATTAGACGCCGTCCATGTATTTTTCGGTAAGAGTAGTTGTGAATGTGCCATCTAGTCTGAAGCAGGGAGTCGGCTTTTACGACTCCCTAGTCTGAAGTGTATCGCTAGGCCCTCTTTAGTTTTCACTACAAAAGTACGATTCATGACTGAGTATTATACATGTACATGTACATGTAATTATTATGTCAATTCAACTGCAAAGGCACTGATAGTGATAGTCCTTGTTTTCCTCATTGATCTGCTCACTTCAGTGAATATCAAATGCCCTATAATTCCTTCCCAGTTGTCCTGTTCGTCGTGTTATTTCTCCTTCTCTGCTCATTTTGTATTCTTATACTTCAGTACATGCAAGAGTACATCACCGGTGGGTAAACGGGTGGTTATGTACATGTACATGATTGTACTCTTGGTACATGTAACAGTATTCTCATTCTAACTGTACAGAAATGGAGACCCCCTCGATAGGCTAAACGCCTGATCCACCTGTCCTGGGCTTTGAGCAGGCAGGACCGTGCTTTCCAGCCCGCGCAATTATTATTATTAATTTTCTGATCTGTCATTGGTCGAATCCAAGGCGACAATCGATCGATCGTTAATCAAGTGACATACGGGAATTCTCTTTTAGTTTTACTCGCGCAGTTGACTTATGACTTTATTACTCCCGTTTGTGTTCCTTGGGCCGTGGCAGCTAGTCGAGGACAGCAACTCAGTTACCATGGGTACATTGCCATTACGTGGATACTGTAACTTACCAACATGGTACCTCCCCTAAAGCCCTGCCCTCCTCGAAGTAATTAGTTCTTTGTACATACCGGTACTAATAGTAGTACTGTTCTTTCAATCAAATGATCATCAATCAAATGAACCCTAAAAAAAAGTTGGCTACATTCATACCTACTAGTACTAGTACTAGTATCTACAAAGAGGACGGCAAACCTGCGGAGCCAGCTAGCTACAGGCCTATCTCCCTGCTGCCGGCCATAGCTAAGGTTCTGGACGCCATCATCGCCGAGCACCTCACCAACTTCCTCAATAGGCAGGGATTAATTACCGACCACCAGTATGGCTTTGTCTCCTGCAAGTCGACACTCGATCAGCTAATTGTCCTGTCTTCAAGAGTGGCTAAAGCACTCGACAAGCGCACTGACTACCACGCTCTGTTCTTGGATTTCGCGAAAGCGTTGGACAAGGTACCGCACACTGTTCTTCTCCGTCAGCTCGCTACAATCAGATTCATATCCCCTGAAGCCGTTTCTTGGTTCACCAACTACCTGACCACTGACTACTAGTACCTCAGAGACCGTTCCTTCTGTGTCAAAGTTCTCTCTGCCAAGTCGCCGACCCACCCAGTTTCTTGCAGGTGTTCCCCAGTGATCTCACCTTGGCCCCATTCTTTTCATTCCCGTTCATGCCCTTCCTAGCACCATATCGTCTGATGTCACTGCTGATGTGCTCTTGTTTGCCGATGACACTACTCTTGGGAGAGCAGCCGGAGGACCTAACCAACAACAAATGGTCCACCCCCTCCAGGCCGCCACTGATGGCGTTCTGCAGTGGGCTGATTCAGTCGGAGGGTGCTTCAACCCTTCGAAGTCTTCCACCATGCAGTTCTCTCCTAGAAGTCGTGCAGAACGTGCCCACCCTACTCATCCGACTCCGCACCTGGGAATGCAGGGAGACGACGTGTCTGATGTAACGACTCACCGACATCTTGGAGTCATGTTGGACTCTAAGTCTCTAAGTCTAACCTCGACTTCACCAGCCACGTCGCCACCATCCCGACAAAGTTCCGCCAGCGAGGGTCCTGCTGATCCACATCACCAAGCGTATCACCCCAGCCGTAGCAAGCCGCTTGTACACTGGATATGTTCGACCTGTGGTTGAATACGCCTCATCCCTCTGGCAATTTCAACTCTCCAGTGCTCAGGCTACTACCCTTGAACGGCTACAGGCAAGAGTGGCACGTGTGATCCTGCGGCAGTATGGCGTGTACCCTCCTCAAACGGAGCCGAAAGCCTCACTTTTCGCGCACCTCCAGTGGTCCAGCCTCGCATGGTGAAGACACATTCAGTGCCTTCTTGAGCTCCACCACCTTATCAATAGCCAGATGACGACCCTGGAGGACCTAGGCTACTCAGTGTCAAACTGCGCCAGGCGCCCCCAACATCTACTCCCACCTGCTAGAGCCAGCACACACACCCGTGCCACCTTTCTCTTTGTCACCACTGCCACATGGAACTCCCTCCCGGCTGCCATTCGTACTGTATCCAGCCCAAATGTTTTACCGCTCTTGTCCGCACACACTTTGCTATCACCCGTTATGAGCCCTCTGGTTTCATTCCACGTAGAGTAGCGATGTCATAGAGCACTGTGTTATATTAGTACTACCATCCCGCATCATTCTATTTCCAATTTTTTCTTTTTCTCCTCAGCTTCTTCTTCATAAGCTCTTGACGGAGACTCCCTCGATTTAGGCTAAGGCCTGTGGAGAATCCATAAATACAAACACAAATACAAAACCCCTCGATAGACATATTGCCTTTGGGTCATTTTCATAATAATAATATTATTATTGTAGAAAGGAAGAGGACATATGGATACGAGTTAAGAGTAAGTCTCCATCACTGTAACCAGATACTTATACAGTCAGAAAGTGCAACAACTAGGCACAAAGCTGACAAAGTACGGAGACATTCGACGTCCTGACACCTAGCTTCAACACATCTCCGTAGCGCTAACCGACAGCCTTCCAACTCGGAAGGTTCAATTATTATTTATATTATTATTAAAGTTTTGATAGGGCAATCCCCACAGGCCTAAGGCCTTTTGACAGGGTACCCTAAGAAATGAAGAACATAATTGCGGAAGGTATGCAGGGAAGAACTTGAGTGGACCTCGGCTGGGAGGGCGTTCCAGCGGTCAGAGCCAAGGAAAGTGGCAGAAAATAAACCATAGCGACGTTTGGCTGTCGGAAGAGCAAGGGAAGAGGACACTTGAGAGCGGGTGCGAGAACTAGTGCAGGTAGAATTAGAGCGGAGACAGAAACAGTTAGCAACAAAGACACTAGCCAGATCATGAAGCGCACGGTACGTTAGAACGTACAGCTTGAATTGGTACCTGACAGACAAGGGAATGATACTCAAGTCTGTGGACAGCAACTGTTTCGCTCTGCTAAAGCTCATCAGCACAGCTCAGAGGACCGAAGCTAGGCCTCGACCAAATATGCTAAAAAACAAGAGCATAATTATGCTCGTCGCATATCAGGGAAAACGTCCATAATATGCCAAAGGCTTAGCAAGATATGCAAAAAGATATGCCAAAATATGCCAAAATATGCTCGACATAAGCAGAAAGTGTAGATCTTTTCAGTAAAATTACAACCTTGGAATATTCACTGGCTTCACGGCTATCATGCTTATGGTGCAAATCAAAACACATGCGGAATAGTATGGCTGGGGTGTGTCCCCACCAACCGTAGCGATAGTGTTCATCCATGGGGAAATGGAGCAAACGTCTCAACTATTCCTAATTCATCCATAAAAGGCATTTCTGAACGCATTTTGTCCATAATATGAATGTTTTGTCCTCGTTTTCTTCAGAATATTCGAATTATATGCTGGCTTCATTCCAATATTCCCTTTGTCGCTCAATATGCCATAATGAACTGTCTCACAAAAATATGCGGAAATATGCGCAAGCATATTTGGACGAGGCCTAACCGAAGCGCAGCTCTTCGCAATGAAATACGTTTCCGTGAAGCAAAGCATTTAGACAAGGGAATGATATGGTAGCGGGCAATAACAAGGGACACATCAGATAGGCGGGGCATGCAAAATACAATACGCAGCGCTCTATTGCTAAGTCGGACGACACGGTCATGGAGGGAGTAATTAAAGGGGAAGTTAAGGCAAAATCAAAATTTCACCAGTAGTAGTCTTCGGGGTGCTGAGTCGAATGGTCGTGGTCCGAGGAAGCTGAGACGCTCCCTTCCTACTTGAATCCCAATCGAACTCGCGCACTTCCACCGAAACTGGGTGACTGCGCCCTATGAGATGGGGATAAAAATGTCACTAAAGGCGCCATTTCGTTCTTATAAAAGCACGGATGACCACGATTGGCCCTTATGCTGTAGTCTTTCGGACGCTGAGTCGACTGGTTTTGGTCCGAAAATGCTGCGATGCAGCGTTCCTCCTTTATTCCCAATCGAACATTGTTGAACAAGCGGTCACGTGCTCCTGCGTACACCAGTCACCTGGTCACCGTGCCCTGCAGGGTACAACTTACTAGCCTGTTTGACCTTTTTCGGGTGGAGTCCTGTCACTCGAGTTGAACTTTGGTGTGAAAGTTGTCGCCTGCTGGCGTGGTGACCAGGTGATTTGGGCACCCAGGAGCACGTGACCGCTTGTTCAACCACGTTCGATTGGGAATAAAGGAGGAACGCTGCATCGCAGCCTTTCCGGACCAAAACCAATCGACTCAGCATCCAGAAGACTACAACATATGGGCCAATCGCGGTCATCCGTGCTTTTATAAGAACGAAATGGCGCCTTTAGTGACATTTTGCATACAAATCCCCATCTCGTAGGGCGCAGTCACCCAGTTTCGGTGGAAGTGCACGAGTTCGATTGGGACTCAAGTAGGAAGGGAGCGTCTCAGCTTCCTCGGACCACGACCATTCGACTCAGCACCCCGAAGACTACAACTGGTGAAATTTTGATTTTTGCCTTAACTTCCCCTTTAAAGGGGAAGAGTGTGTTGGTCCCTACATGAGAGCTCGCGGTTTTCCTGCCGACTTGAATTCTCACTTGACTGACTCACGATTAGGGTCCAGCGGATAATGCTCCGAAAATGTTCGTATAATGCTAATCATAATGCTCCAAAAACTACCTTGTAATGCTGATTATAATGCTTCAAGAAGGCTATTGCTCTTGGTTTGGAACAAAAATGGAAGAAAGGCTGCACATTGTTAAACTTCCAGGAAAGGACGCATTTAGTCGATCTGCCTCCGAAGCTGCTACAATTTCTCTCATGAGCTCCACCACTTCTTAGCACTATACGACTGGATCGAGTCTCCATTGGTTGCTCTCCATTGCAACTTTGATGCAGGGCTGTGGCTGAATAGTGGGTGCATCGAATCGTTTCCCTTGCTTATCCATGTAGTGAGAGGTGAAACCATTATTGTTGGTGATCATTTGGATGCTGGAAGCATAATGGAAGTGGTGTTCCTGCCTGCAGACAAGATGTCACTGCTTCCACTCTGTGAAAAATCAGTCTTCATCTGAAACAGCTCACATGAAGCCAGTCGACAGACGATCTCAGATCGAGATCCCTCCCATTTGCGGAAATCCTGAAAACACATGGTCAGAAGTTGTTTTGCCGCTCTACATCCTCTGCTTGCGCTGTCTTCTTCTCCTGAGGTTGCGTGGAGACAAATGGTTGGCCACAATACTCTTCTTTTCTGATAGCACTTGACTGTAGTAGTGTAGGCCTTGCATTACAATTGTGAATTTGTCCACGACGAACTGTACGTGCTTCACCAGGAAAGTAAGACAGGCGCTCCTGAGCACTCAAATCGACTTGGTACTGCGTCCATGAGGACTTCTAGTTCTTTTCGAGTTCTTTTCGAGCCTGCTGATCTTGACTCGGCAAAGGCAGTTATTTGGAATAAGCTCTTGCATACATGTAGCCGCTCCTTCATCCAGGTCCAAATTTATCAATAGATGAGTGTTTTCTTCAGTATCTCTAGAGATATGCTATGGCCAGAGCCTATGGCATAACAGGAAAACTCCTCTTCGTCTCTTTGATATTCACTTCGCGGACGTCTAGTCTCCTCCATGGCTCTCCATGATTTCTAAAAAAGAACTCCTCGTAAATCATCGTTACGGATTTTGTGTGTAAACAGCCTCAGTTGCAACGTTGGGCATGCTACATCACCTTTACATTTACCTGACTACATTGCTACATAAAGACTTTATGTACAATGATTATGTAGCAATGGCATTACATGTATGAAGTCAGGTAAATGTAGCATTGCCATTAGCGCTAAATGTGTTACGTGTCTACAAATCACAAAGTTATGTGCCGGTACAATACGTCAATAGTCAACACATGGCGTTGCACATCATGGCTTTAGCCGATTGTTGTCGAAAACCTTATATTTCCCGACATTATCCACTATGAAACTCGTTATGCCGCTGAAACCTCACATAATGCTCGTCTTGTTCCTTTCTAATGCTCCATAATGCTCTGATGCTCGGATAGTCTCATAATGCCGAATATACCTCCGACTCTGCTAAAACTAACATACTCCACTGTCTTACACGTGAGTCTCCACGTTCCCAAGTAACGACTTTTACGTAAAGTCGTTAGGAGCAGGATCTACAGTAGGAGTAAAAATACAGACGCAGCCTATGCCGGCTATACAGTGTAGTATGGTAGACGATAATTATCACGACGGTCTGTACAACGTCATCAATGATCAAGATTCAACTAACGTTACTTTTCAAGATCAAAATCCAGAACTGCATCGGGACCTGTACGCATGCGCATAATTTATCTAGATCACGTGTTTAGCTCTTCTGAATCTGAGCGGCGTGAGCGACTGAGCGCGCGGTTCCGCACTGCCACTGCATGCACTTGCACTGCTCTTCCATTATCATGATTATAGATTTTGGTTGTTGAGCCTTGACTTGAGCCTTGAGCATGAGGGCCTCTTTTTTGTACCAGTCACCAGTACAGTCATGCATGCGCATATCGCGCTCTGATCAGGCATATTAATATGCAGCCACGGCGCAGCACAGAGTCAGACCCGGTCATATCATATCAAGGATGAAAAGCGTCGACCCTTTTCATCACCCAGACGTGGCTTGCCTTGAGTGACGAGTCAGAAGTGAGTTGTGGCTGCACCCTTGCTTTGCTCATTCCAGGAGAAGCAACGTTGGTACGCGGGTAAGTATTGGTGCATTGATGGTTGGGATAGCCTTTTGAATGTTGGTCTCACTCACCGGCTTGTCTGTGCGTGGTGTTCTTGCGTGTGGACGTGTGCAGACTTGATTTGCCCTTTGGCCGACTTCAGCCTTCTTGTCTTGAGGTCCTTGTCATACGGTACACTGCCACTGGGAGAAGAGAAACTGTCGACACGCACTGAGGAGGGTGAAGCTAGCCGTTTTGTGGATCACTCCAGTCCAGGGAGCGTTGAGGTACGTGAGTTACTTCATGGCTATTCCTCTGTGATCTTTGTTGGCTGTAGACTGGTGAGTTGCAGGATGTCTAGGGGACGATAAAGGTGCTGCTACATCTTCTCATACTTTGCTTAGCTGTGTCACGTTTTTTCTCTCATTATCCGCGTGTAGCTGATCTTGATCAGCTGCAGGTTTGAGCGGTACCTCGTCCAGTATTTGGCTGTAGGAGGGTGCAGTACTTTCTCTTTGACTCTGTCGAGCCTAGCCCAGTTCAGAGAAGTTTCAGCGTCCGTGCAACTGAGTCACGCCGGGTCCGTCACCCGGCCTGCCCGTGCCTCCGCGTCCTGGGACGTGCCGGGATGGTGGACCTATGGCTATGCCGTGTTGGGCTTGTTTTGGATCGGAGCAGGCTGCTGTCGCGTCCGCCCTTCCTCTCTGTACTTGGCAGGCTAGCGGTAATCTTAGTCGGACGCCGCGGTATTATGCCATTGGCGTAATTGTCATTGGCAGGAGTTGCACTGCTTGTCGCACGTCGTCTCATTTTGCACTTGGACGGTACCGCGGTACCCGCGTGTAACTGTTGAGCTATTTTCCGCGAAAGGCTCCTTGCCACCTTGGCGATTCTTGTGAGACGATCGCCGCTGTACGCTGTGCGCATACATGCATGTCCGTTCTACATAACTGCTTACTTACAAGTGCCATTGTGTTTTAATACGTGCGTTAGATATTAGTATGTGAACGTTGCAGACTCTCGTTCTCTCTACAACCAACAGTGCAGTAGGCATGGCGGACTGTCTATATTGACTGCATGGAAGCAAACACACTGGGAGATATGAAAAATAGTAAAGTTAGCCAGATTTGATTTGAGTCTTTGGTTTCGCCTGGCCACCCGACTGTCCGCTGTGTACACTGATGAAGCCGCGAAGTCTGCGTGCGTATGTTGTCTCACCACCCGGCAACCTCTCGCGGGCACCTGAAGTGGACGAGTGGCGGGCTACATGTACATTATAGCCGCATGGTCCAGTCCAGCAGCTTCTGTGGGCATGACATGCTGCGAACACCCAGTCCATCATGGACATGGGCCATCCAGCCAGCCAGCCATCATTTGACCTTTGCACCCTTTCCCTTAGTGTTCAGGTCGCATCATCATGTCACTGTGTACATGTATGACTGTATCCTTTCCCTCGCACATCAAGTCACACATCAATTTTCTTTCCGTATTTACGCAATACGGTCGTGGTTGTGACAGAGCCCGCCGTGGCCATTGAATATTATTGACCATTATCATTGACCATCATCATCACCACCACAGTTTGCTCTGCGCCAACCAACACGTCTTTTAACAAACCACCATACCAAGCACGGTGGCCACACGTATACACCCACTGTTGAAGTTTGATTTCACGGTGGTTATTATTTGCGTTATGCTGCAAAATTAGCAAACATTAAGTTAATACTTCGCAAACATTGGGCTGTTTACAGTACGTGATTACTCCACCCTCGGCGGCAAGGTTGATTCCCTGGACATGTCCTCCGAGGCGCCACAGTTGTGGTGGTGGTGGTATGTGCAACTGCAAGATACGTTGGTCTGCCCGGGGCTACATGCGCAGTAGGTAGACTAGAGTGAATTTCAATACCCGTGTCCCCAGCTGTGATCTGGCCCCACATGCCTGCTATCAGGTCGCGGCAAGAGTCCATAACCCCCCAGAGTGTGCAACTCGTGATCCTTCTCAGCACAAATCAGTGCCGCAACGAAATCCAAACTTCATACGTCATGTAGTGAGTAGCTATGACGAAATGGGAAGTTTGGCCCGGACCTACTTCGCCCGTTTGCCCAATTATTTGGGGTCTTTCTTTACGAATCCACGGCCAGGTATTGTACGTAACACGCCTGGAAAGGCTCAAGTACACAAATAATTATTTTAGAGTTATCGAACAGTTTTCTCTTTTGAGTGTCTCTCCGATAAGAGAAGAACAATGGCCACTGTTGAACCTAAAGCAAAGCGCTCCCCATTGTCGCCGGAGTGCAGTGTCTCTGTGGACGATATTCGTCAGTTTTTGCTCGATCTGGGCTCCTCATTTTCTTCTCTCGATTGTCGAGTGTTGGAAATTGTACCAAAATGGGACCGAGGAGCAGGTTGAAGCACATCTACTTCGAAATCGATCGGGTCTTCATGCCGTGTGCCAAGAGCTATTTCCATCAAATCTTGTAAATCTATATCCATGCCTATTCTTGCTATCCCGGAGTCACGAACTCTCCCAATACAAGCTTTTCAGACAACGAGCAGAGAAACTCTCTTCAAATAAAAAAATTCTGTGACTGTGAAATCAAAGCCGTTCTGCTGACACTGCATAGCCCGTGGAGCAAACGTTTTACGTGACACTTCCGTGGCTTGCTACAACTTGGAACCCCCGCCGGATGTACCAGATATGCACATGGCCCCATCCGCCCATGCTTGCCCGGGGACCGGATGACGCAATGTTTGGATTTCGTTGCGCCAGACCCCAACCTGGAGTTGCACACTCTGGGGGGTTATGGACTCTTGGTCGCGGTGGTAATAATGACGAGGGCTATGAGCCAGTTGGCGTTCAGTCCTGTAGTGCAGCACAATGCGGTGGTGGTGGTGGTGCTGTTCAAATTTATATGGGCCATGTTTCTCGTCGCAGATATTCATACTGGTAGGCGGGAATAAAGAGAGTACCATAACGTTCCGTGTATACGCCCACTCAAAATAGTGCCCATCGAATTGACATCCACACTCAAAGCCCACGAGTTCGCCCATGCCGGAAAACCACCGAGGGTGATGCTGTACCTTTGTATTTATTTATTTATTTATTACAGCCGATCTCATAGCACAGTGAGAAGACCGGCCAATACAAAGAGAGAGAGGGTGTTAGCCAACCACGGCAAGGAAGGGAGAAGGGGAGGAGAAGAAAAAAGGAACCGGCATGAAAAAGTAGTGATTGCAACAAAACGAGAAACACGAAATCAAAGTCGAGGCTCGACAAGGCTCTTTAAAAGGCGGAGGGAAGAAAGGTCCTTAGCTTCTTGGGGAAGTGCCAGCCACGCAGAGTACGCAGTGAAAAAGGGAGAGTGAAGTAGAAAGGAGGACTTAGGTTTCGTATATGTATGTATGCGTATGTGTGCAAAATGGTATGCGTGCTTATGAAAACGCAAGCGATGCGATATGCACCTTGTATAGGCCTAGTCCTGAAATAACACCCATGCCCAAATATACGCCTAGTTTTCAGCCCCTTGTTCTGTATACGCCTGGGGCTTATTTACGGCAACGAAGACACCGGTGTAAACTAGGCCTGCAGTGAATACGGCTTGAGCCGATGGGCTCAAGTCGCAACAGTCGATCACTATTCGCGGACTGTGTATACAAGCTTGATGTCTGCATCCTGGCCGCGTGCATGAGTGTCGGTGGGTGTTAATTACATGCATCCCGTAGTGACGCGAATAAAAGCATGTGTGCCTATACCCGGGCATAAGCCCACCCTCAAATACACTACAATGTAGTAAGCGCATGGACTTATAAGTTAAAACACCCTGATGCCATCAAAATACAATGTTTGCCGTTTTTCTATGCAGTCTTTACATTCCATACTGGTAACACAAGCGCATGTGGCCAACCTTCACCAAATTACAAATATGGCAAAGATCGCTTCCATAAGCGATGAATTTCTTTCTTGGGTGGTCCATAAAAGTATCGCTAGTTGCGCGTGCAGTTCAGAGAAAGCAAAGATCTACATTTCCAACTGCGGCTGATGTCTGTCGTGTTGTTTTTCCTGCAGCTTAATTCATTAGTGTCCCGTCACCAGCAGCAGCATCAGCAGCATCACCAGTATGTCAGACAGACCAGTAGAGTCAGTAGCAATGAGTAGCACCAGCGTAGAAGAAACTAGACGATCTCAGGCGCAACCTGCCCCAGTGAGAACGCCAGCCATCACAACAGAACCGGAAGCTCAACCTAGCACAGCTTCCAGTGCCGACGCGGAAGTTGAGGCAAGCACATCGTCGCCAAGCACAGCTCCCAGACTGCAGCCAGAAGCCCCGCCAAGCGCACCCTTGGGCCGCCCGAGGCCCAAACAAACAGGCGGTCGCTCGTCGAGAGCTGCAGCCTCATCAAACAACCCCACAAATCGCAGGTGAGTACATTTATTACATGCACATGTACATCATTGCATGGTACATGGTACTGCCGTGGACATGGAAAACCGGTCGAATGACGGGGGCCGGCCCGGCGCCCTCAGTGCGTACAGAACGTTGCATGCAGTGCACATGTTGATCCGATGCGACCAGCGCGCTACAGCGCATAAATGAATGTGTGTGTGTGTACGGCATGCGTACTCACGGCTGCATGGCCAGCGCCCTGGGGCCACTAGACGTGCGACCGGATTTTCATGTCCGCGACAGTACCTCTGCCCCATCCACGCTGTGCTCACTTGGCGCCTATCAAGAGGTAAACCCCTTGATAGGCGACAAGCCTCTGGGTCATCCTAATAAACTATTATTATTATTATTATTATTATTACCTCCATGCATACTCTGATATGTTGTTTGATGAAACCAGTCTTGTCCCTTGTCCTGTCACCGTGAGATAACAAAAGATGGATTTTGATTACATCATTTCATCAGGTGACTTGGCTGGATGTCTGATCCCATATATGGGTGATGACAATTTCCCGTATTTAGAAGACTGCTGGATGGCAAACTCCATACAAGTCATACTGAAGTATATGGCAGGCTTCTTGAAGGGAAACACTCTTATATGGGTAGATTTACACACATGGCATTCACCCAAATCTATCTATAGGTCCTTGATCCCTTTAAGATGAGCGTTTTGAGGATCTGAGAATTGTTTTGCATATCAGGAAGCCATGTTAAAAGCCGCCCAGATTTATTTCGTTGTTTTGCCTTCACTCAGCTGCAATTGCATAGGTCGATTTGCGTTCCTTATTTTCTACCTGTGGTCAGCCATGCGCTAGCGTGCATGCCAAGTGTCATATGACTTTCTTCTTGCAGCCAACCTCGCACTGGGATCCTAATACTGTAGAACGGGTACTTTTTGCGACGTAAAAAACCCTAGCGAATTTAGCGATCGACTTATTTTCGCTAAAGAGTTTCAAGTCGCTAATCCGTTGAGACATTAGTAGTGCACTGGTGATCCGTGAGTACAATGCAGCACTACATTATAGTACATGTAGTAGTAGTACTAGTAAGGCAATTATTACTATATTCAATAGCACATGTTTTATGATGTTCTCTCGTACTACACACTCATAGTACACGGTAGTGATGATTTGTACATACAGTAGTAGAATGCAGTATCAAAATGTGTACAATGCAGAAAAATGCAAATCACTAAAATAAAATGTCGCCAACCGGTTGACAATGGGAAAACGTCAAAATTTATAGTCGCTCGAATTACCCGTTGTACAGTAGCCCTAGACTTCGGCTACATAGGCAAACAAGTCGAATACTCTGGTTCCATCATAGTGCCTGCCCGGCCTCGAATCGCGAAGCAATGGAACCATGATTCTACCCTAGCGTGTGTGTAGGCACTTGACGCTCTCTATAGTCACATGGAAAAGACTGAATCAGACTCAAAATACTGTGACAACATAAAATTCTGGAAAGCCTAGCGGATGTATATTCTGTTCAAAGCGGGTAATTTTCTTTTGTATTCACCCATATTTCATGTTACACCTGTTTGTGTTAACTAAGCAGGTTCCATTGTATATGGAAGTGATGTCCTTCTTGCCTGATATTTCTGAAATGCTTCAGGCTGCGCACAGAGTTGGCGGACATGCTGACGGATCCACCGCCAAATTGCAGGTAGGTCAATTGGATCTGCAGGTTGTGTCCGAGTAGTACAGTATTGAGTCCAGTTACAACAATACATACGCACTACACAGTGATGCCAATACACTGATGTATTTGGTGAGGACAGAAACATTACTGACTATACAGTATACATACAAGTAGTACATTGTAGATGAGTAGGTACATAGAATCAAGAAGCCCTTTACCTAGAAATACAGTACAAGGACAATTTTTGCTGGTGAAAACTTTCGGACTTGTTTTCGTTAATTTTAAAGCCAGGGACTGATATTTCTGAAAGTAGTAGCCCTAATCAAGCTTCAGTTTGGAATGAAACGGCGATTGATTTTCTCTGCTCGCCTTGTGAAATTAACGCAAATTAATTCTAAAGTAAATTTGCAGTTGTACTGTCCAGGAGGATGCTGCGACGGTAAACATTGTATCATAAGGTTTGTGTGGAAGAGTGATTTTAAAACAATAGACATTGGAAAGTTGCAGAGCGTTGTGACTCTAATAATAACTAGGGGTAAAACAATTATACTGGATACTGGAGATAGCAATCAAGAAAGGGCCAAAGACGTGAGATTTTGTGGGAAATAGTGTATCCCCCCCCCCCCCCTCCCCTACCCCTTGATCATGGTCCTGGCCGTGCCCCTGTACTCATGTCCACTTGTGACCATTTTGCTGTGGGTGTGATGTGTAAGTGTGTAAGTGTTCAATATTGGCATGGTCACTGAGCTTATCGGTGCAATGCATTTATCCCATGTGCGATGATGGTGTTTGGAGTGGGTGCATGCTCGACAATGGGAATAACGTATGATAATGCCGAGAATACTGAACCCGGAGAGAATACTGTATGTTCTCCCAGGCTTTTTGGGTCACTGTCTAGTCGAGTGTCTACATGTACATGGCTGCAGTCAGGTGACAGTTGGTAATCCCTAGTAAGGTAGCCAAGTATCATGAAATCATTTTGTATTTTACTACAGCTAGCACTGTCTCTTTCTCCAGTGTGGCGTAAAACTCGTGCTGCGCCATGTTTGACTGCATACATTTGCTTGACTGCAGTGCATCCTTGTTTGGTGAGAGGGTGGATCATTGGCTGGCCACGATCATGGGACCGCCTGGGTCTGTGTATGAAGGCGGCGTCTTCTTCTTGAACATCCTGTTCCCGAGCAACTATCCATTCGAGCCACCCAAGGTACGAGTGATAGTAGTTTAACCTGGGCTGTGGGTGTTTCCAACACAATATTCGCCTTTTCAATAGAAACTAACTCGAAGAATATGTCCACGCTTCCTGGAGATAGATACTAGTATACAAAGTGAAGGCTATGACCAGAGTTGAATCACTTCTTCTTGAAGTCTTTGAAGTCCTTTATGCTTCTTTTATGTGCACATCATGGTGGTACAACTTTTTAGGGGCCATTATAATGACTGTGATGAGGTCATTGGCAAGATGGGAGTGAAATTTGGAAAATGTTTCTTGCAGAATGCTTCTCTAATTTCTTCTCTAATTTCTTTTGTTCTCACTTTCACTTTTGATCATGCTCTGAAAAATATGGCCTAGTGCGGGTCCAAATTTCATCTCTGTTTCAAAAGTCACTTAATTCGCGGAGCCCAGCCGATTGCCATTATTCGCAAGGCTGACTATGATCAGTGACGCGTATTGTATGACAGTATCATTGATGTGATGACAGCTGTCAGCTGCAATCATGTGCTGTACACTGCATTATGGTGAAAACTGAAAAAGAAGGCGAACTTCCAATATTGAAAGTTTGCGAGGTGGTATGATGGTGCTGAAAATTGTAATCCCATTGAAATAAGCCCCAGTCTGTATTAACACTCTCACCCCTCCTCCTCCTCTCTTGAATAATCTTCAAGAAATAGATGATATGCCAAATAACGTGCAACTGGACTTGGATTGCAATGCACACCAGTTGCATACAAATTATACTACAATGTGTGCACGGTAGGCTCTGAGCTCTGCAGGAGCACAAGTCACAGGTAACCGTACAACTTTGAACTTTGTATGCAACTACTCTGCAATGCCCTTCCATGTCTAGTTGCACGTTATTTGGCATATCATCTATTAGAGGAATGCATATGATTCTCAGTCTGCTGCATGTTCTTGTGCTAACGGTCAGTTAGTTTGACTTGAGACATCTGTAGGTTAGCGGTGCAAGACAATCACAGATCCAGCGTGCAGATCCAGTGCGACGGCTGTCCAGCCAGTTTTGATTCATGATTGTTGAGCTCCTTCCGGTTTTTTTTTGTTTTTTTGTTCGCTGCTTTGTACGTCAGGTGACATTCAAGACGCGGATATACCACTGCAACATTAACAGCCAGGTACGGTCAGGACATCACAGGAATGAAGATTATCTCCTTCGTTTTGTTTTGGCACGTGTGTGTGATGTGGTGGGTGTATTGATTTCATGATCTCATGCTACATTGCAGAGACCAGCAATGCCAGCAAGAGAGAGCTGGAGATCTGGATGATAGACAGTAGACACCTACTCGTACAGCACTTCTTTTTTTAAATTTTTTAGGCTACTTTCTTGTTCGTTCCGCAGCATGTTATATTGTAGGGAGAGAGAATGTACATCTGAGATTCATGTGAATCCTGCATGCGTGCTACATGAGTACCTGCCGTAATTCTAACTTCCACTGTGCTTTACTTGCTACCTACACATGCACAGGGTGAGATTTGCTTGGATATCCTGAAGGACAACTGGAGTCCGGCCATGACTGTCAGCAAAGTCTTGCTGTCCATCACGTCTCTGCTTGCTGACTGCAATCCGAGTGACCCGCTCGTTGCCAACATTGCTCGCCAGTTCACCGGTGATCGAAGCGGGCACGATCGCATGGCACGCGACTGGACTCGTCGTTTTGCAAGATAGCCGTATCCGCTGACCTAAAAGTCAGTACATGTAGTACCAGTAATACTGTGTTCTTGAACTTGAGTGTGCTCCATATTCCACTTTTACCTTCTTCTTTTTTATCCGTTTAAACTGTTTTGTGAACCCAGCATGGTCCCGGGCTTCATTGATCCATGTGCGAGTCGTGTACCAGATTGGGTTGTGCTCTATTATCTAATATATTCAAATCAAACTGCTGATCCCCGTCGCCGCTACAGTGATACGCTGCTCTCATCCATCCATCCGCCTCGTACCTCCACTGCTTGATAGTTCTGTTTAAAACTCCGACTTATGCTGCTGCTCTTCGGTCTCCTCCTGTGCTGCATGTATGATCGTGACAGCAGGGCCGAAGTTACTGCCTCTAATGCTTTTAAAAACATCACATGTTTCTCCCAGCCCAGGTGTACCTTTGAAGTACATACGGTAATAGTACTGTCTGGGACTGATTCTCGCTATTGTAATAATACTAACGATATGTGTGCCATGGTTTCAATTCTGCATTCTTTTTTATCGCTTCATCTGTTCTGATTTACGTCCCTTGATACTATGCCTGGCTCTGCCAGCAGTGGTCAGCAAACCCCCGCTGTGAATCATCATGCTGTTCCGAGGAGACGTTACTAAATATTCTGACGGTTCTAGCTGCGGGAGTGCACGTGGCAGATCTGCGTAGTCTGTACACCGTTGTGACTGTGTAGTCTGTACACCGTTGTGACTGTGTGGAAGAGTAATATGGGTGCTGATCAGGTGAAGCCAGATTTTTACTTCACCGCACATGACGGTAGCGTGATGGTGCGAAGAAGTCATCTTTTCCGCGACAATGGGAGTGCGTCTTGTTTTCAGTGCACAAAGTTAAGTATACATTGAGATTTACTCATTGCATCACGGAGCAAAATCCATTTTAGCTCATGCAGGGGCAAGTGAAGACCTCAGCCGTTGTGCAAAGGTGCATTAGAGGAGCAAGGCTGTTTGACGATGACAGCATGTCACAAGTCGGAGGGGAGGACACACTGTATGGCCAACAGTGTTCCTGGCTGCAACCAGAAACCGGTTGGAAGAGGGTCTGAACCGGGCCGGGGCACAGCACCATACGGTTCATATGGTCGCAATATCGGGACTCGACCGACCGGTTTCTGGTTGCAGTCAGGAACACTGTTTTCCATACAGACTCAATGTGTCCTCCGCCTTAATTTAAGCCGGCCTTGTGGCATGCTGTCATGACTACAATTATTGTAGCTTGCATATACCGGCCAGGAACAAGGCTGTACAGACTCTGTCAGTAGATCTCTACGCACAGCACATCCTGGCAGGACGTAGGGCGGAGTAGTCTACTACACATGACTGTAAAGACCCGGTTCTTTTTAGGTCTTGATCTACCCGGCCTGGTGCATACCAAAGCCAAATGAGTTTTCGGGGATGAGGGTCTAGACTGACGCTAGCGATACAAGTCATTTAGTCGCCGGACAGGGTAAGACGAACGCACAATGCCACACACCTCTTTCTTCACACGTGTGGTACCAACACCAGCCCACGCCAGCTTCTCCCTGTACGAGAAACACGAGATTCTAGTCGTCGTTGTGGCCGTTCAACGAGGCATAATGTTTTGCACATCTGACTGCAAAACCCCCACGATCGTCTGCTCACCAGATCAAGGTGTGGGTTCTCTTCACTCAGGACATGTCGACAGTAGACTGAGTCGAGTCGAGCGAGTTGCAACTCCCGGTGCCGGAAGGCGGGCTCACACCTACATGACTACTTCCCCTAGTTTAACCCTTTGAGGTGCCACTCGTAAAATGATAGTAGCCGACTGGCCGAAATTAAAAAAATAATAATAATAATGGTCTTGCCTGGTCCTGCTTCTCCGTCGGATGCACCGGTATCTCGGCCTGCGACGATTGCATGTGCGGCCTCAATATCCTTCCATTCTTTACAAGTTGGAATGCTGTGTACATGTGGTTTGCGTAATCAAGACGTATTGTATTGTATTGTATTGTATTGTATTTATTTAAAAGGATTCTCCAAAAGCAAATGGATGCTTATCACGGAAGTCTCCCACATAAATATCGCAAGAAAAATGGGGAAATGGGGGAGAGGAGAGTGGAAGATGAAGCATGGGAAGAAGGGAAACAAGTACCTAAATATCGAGGTATAAAAGCAGGAGAGAAATCGACGAGGGAAGAAATCACCTCAGCAGATAATAGCGAGATATTTAGATGAAAAAACCCCAGCAAGGATTAATTTCAAGGAAAAAAAATTTCTCAAACGGAAAAGTTCGGAATTCCAGTCAGAGAATATCTATGCTGTGAGTAATGAGCCTTTAGAGCAATGCGAAAATTGACAGAGGACTGAACGCAGCGGATGTGTTCTGGAAGTTTGTCACAGTCCATTCCACAGATAAACTGAAGAGAGGGGATTTAAAGGGGAAGTATACCCTAAAATCAAATTTTCACCAGTTGTAGTCTTCGGGGTGCTGAGTCGAATGGTCTTGGTCCGAGGAAGCTGAGACGCTCCCTTCCTACTTGAATCCCAATCGAACTCGCGCACTTCCACCGAAACTGGGTGACTGCGCCCTACTAGATGGGGATTTGTATGCAAAATGTCACTAAAAGCGCCATTTCGTTCTTATAAAAGCACGGATGACCGCGATTGGCCCATATGTTGTAGTCTTTTGGACGCTGAGTCGACTGGTTTTGGTCCGAAAAGGCTGCGATGCAGCGTTCCTCCTTTATTCCCAATCGAACATGGTTGAACAAGCGGTCACGTGCTCCTGCGTACACCAGTCACCTGGTCACCGTGCCTGCAGGGTACAACTAACTTACTAGCCTGTTTGACCTTTTTTAGGTGCAGTCCTGTCACTCGAGTTGAACTCGAGTTGAACCTTGGTGTGAAAGTTGTCGCCTGCTGGCGCGGTGACCAGGTGATTTGGGCACCCAGGAGTAGGCCTTGGCGGATAATGCTCGAAAAGGTGGCAGATTCTGCTTTTTTTGCACCGAAATTGGCAGAACCATACAAACCTTATGGCGGGCAATTCCTCGAATTCTGCTCCATTTCTTTATCCACATACCAAACATGCATGAAACTTACCAGAAAAAGTACCGAATTCTGCCAATTTTTCTGCCGGCATTATCCGCCAAGGCCTACCCAGGAGCACGTGACTGCTTGTTCAACCATGTTCGATTGGGAATAAAGGAGGAACGCTGCATCGCAGCCTTTTCGGACCAAAACCAGTCGACTCAGCGTCCAAAAGACTACAACATATGGGCCAATCGCGGTCATCCGTGCTTTTATAAGAACGAAATGGCGCTTTTAGTGACATTTTGCGTACAAATCCCCATCTAGTAGGGCGCAGTCACCCAGTTTCGGTGGAAGTGCGCGAGTTCGATTGGGATTCAAGTAGGAAGGGAGCGTCGCAGCTTCCTCGGACCAAGACCATTCGACTCAGCACCCCGAAGACTACAACTGGTGAAAATTTGATTTTAGGGTATACTTCCCCTTTAAGGAAATGGGCGCCAGAACGAGGTAAAACTATAGAGGACGGGTGACGACAACTAAGGGATACATTGAATTATTTGAAACGAATTAGCACGTGATGACTGATGTAGCATCAGGTAGTTCATGACAGCAGTCCATGTTGCGCAAACCACATGTGGACAGCATTCCACCTACATGTACATAGTCATTACTTGTCTCACTTCGTTTTCGCGTAACTAATACTTACTTCCCCTCTTTTGGCTTATCTTCCATAACGTTAGGTGAGCCTCAACTCAAGTTAGTAGATGGGTGGTCATTGTTTCGTTCTGGAAGCGAGCCGTGGTTCTTCGTCATCGTCTTGTCACGGCTAACTAACTTTTTTTAGTTACTTTCTTAGTTCGCTGTGATGTTTAGCTTGTTTTGTCTTGAGTACACTCAGCTTCCCCTTTCTTACATTATTTCATAACTAAACTTGGAAGTTCTGAACCTTCTGAGTTGGAAGGCTGTTGGTTTCGCCTCATATTGCAGACGTGATGCAGCTAAGCATCAGGTCGTTGAGTTGCAGTATCACATCATTCAGTGTTGTGCTGCACGTTCTGGCTCACCAGTATCCTGCTTATTTGTTAGTGTTGGACAAACAGCGGATAACAGGCTTGTCAACTTTTGATCCTCTCTTTTTAGTTTCAAGCTCTCCATTCGAGTCTGATCTATATTCTATTTTTATCATCACCGTCAAAATATAGCGGCTCGTTCGTTTCAAGCCAATATTGGTTTACCGTTTGGTTTGGTTTTTATTATTTCAGTTCGTTGCCTCAACAGTACGAAGTACAAAATTAATATCAAGAGGGACTATGAGTATGAGTCGACAATGTCAGTAGGTCACAGTGGCATTAATTTTATTATTGTACACACTGTAGCCTGTCTAGGTGTTGACAGATCTGTCCGTTCTGCTGTGTACACTGCTATGTATATGTATGACCATCTCAGACAGATCATCTACGTGTGTCTGCGCTGTTCTCTGCAGATCTGACTCAGTCAGTGTGACGGTGTTTCGAGCAAGCCGGATCATTATTCATAAGTATACAGTCATCATGTATTTTCAAAAGGACGCAAACGGTAACGTTAGTTAGTTGTTCGGTTATGGATCCTATCAAGGACTAATGTAAAAGCATCATGACTGTGCTTGTACTCTAGTCTAATCCTATCAACCCGAGACTCCCTCGATTTAGGCTAAGGCCTGTGGAGAATCCATAAATACAAATACAAACCCTACCTACAAGGCTACATCGCTACAATGACTATGTACATACATGTATGTTACATTGTAGAACTCACTCAGGACACCTCCGACTCTGCTAAAACCGTAAGCTAACATACTCCACTAACAGTCTTGTACGTGAGTCTCCACGTTCCCAACTACTTTACTTGGACCCAAGTAACGTTACTCGTTAGGAGCAGGAGTAAAAAAAGGTCCTTGTTCTTGGACACTGCGCCACTAGACTGGCCTGAGTGCTGTACCGCAGTACATAATAATGACTGTATACCATGGTATACCATGGGCAATACAATCATGTAGTCGCAGGTAGCCTAGTACATGACATGTATGAGGCTATGGTAGACTTACGGACGAAGACTAGCGCCTACAAAAATTAGGCATCACCATGATCACGACTGTCTGTACAACGTCATCATCAAGATTCAACAAAAGATCAAACGGCATCGGGACGCATGCGCCTAATTATCTAGATCACGTGTTTAGCTCTTCTGATTCTGAGCGCGGCGTGACGCGTGAGCGCGCGGTTCCGCACTGTAGTCTGTATGCACTAGTCTATGCAGTAGTACTGACTACTGGTAATCCATTTTTGTTGTTGAGGTCCTCTTTTTTGTACCAGTCACCAGTAAATGCATGCACATATCGCGCTCTGATATATGCAGCCACGGCGCAGCACAGAGTCAGACCCGGTCATATCTCAAGGATGAAAAGCGTCGACCCTTTTTATCACCCAGGCCAGACGTGGCTTGAGCCTTGAGTGACGAGTCAGAAGTGAGTTGTGGCTGGCCTTGCTTTGCTCATTCCAGGAGAAGCAACGTTGGTACGCGGGTAAGTATTGGTGCATTGATGGTTGGGATAGCCTTTTGAATGTTGGTCTCACTCACCGGCT